GAGGGTTATGCCGACACTTCAAAAGAAACTCTGCCCTCCAATTACAGGAATCCCCAGTTCCCACCAATTCCTCCAGTTCCCACCTCCCCATTGTGTCCTCTCAGTTCCTGCCCCTCTCCCCCCACCACCCTGTTCTTCCCTTGGGGTCCTTTCACTTGCCCTCTCCCCCAGGCTCTTTTCCACTCTTCCTAAGCTCCCAGCCCTTCCAGGCTTCTCATAGCCCCTGGGTCTCCTGCTCTCTTGATCCACAGCCTTGTTTTCTGCTCTGCAGCTGTTCCGCTGCCACCCATGCTCGGTCCAGGGTGATCCTTGATTGTAGGGCCTCAGGAGGCTTTTCCCTGTGGAAGCAGAGTTGGATGGTGGCGGGAACTCAGGCTGATGGCCAGCAAGTGGCCGTCTTTGGCTCAGAGAGGGATCATATCCTCAGCTTCCAACCTGGATGCTTACAGGCAAGCGTGAGAAGCCACAGAGGCTCGGCACCACCCGAAGGTGCCCTTGGCGGTGTAGGCGCTGCAGGCCACACTGACCCCTGAGGCTGTCTGCATGTTCCCCAGCAGGGGGGCTCCCTGGGAGGAGCTTGGCTCTTTCTGTGGTCGGGATGCAGATGGGGAGAATGCAGGCGGCAGGGCTTGGGGCCCTCACTGGAATCCATTCTCTCATCAAATTCCTATGACCCCACCTGAGCTTTGCTCTTACCTCCCCTCGCTGCTGTGACTTCTGCTGTTGTTACCACTTGGAGGACTGACTTCCACAAGGGCTCCTCCGCTTGTCCTATATTTGCCAGGACCTATTTCTAGAGCCTTCTAAAAGTGCCAGTCCATTAGGAGGCACAGGGTCAAAGAATAAAGGTATCTGTCTCTTAACCTGTGCCCTGGTCCCCGACTTAATGGTCGTGAATCCACAGAAGCTTAGTTCATCAAGTGAAAGTAGGGGGCTCAGCACACAACGGCCGACTGAGAAACAGCCCCAAATAATGCCTTACGTTCAGCAAACTCCCCCACCCCTGGGTGGGTCATTCCAGCTTTCCACCTCTTCAGGAACAAATAAACCCCGCCTCCTGAGCGCCAGGGGATGTAGTTAGGCAACTGGGAAGAGTGGTTGTCATTCAAAGATGGGACTGGTGCCGGGGATCAAAGGGCCTGCGGAACAGGCAGATAGGAACAGCACAACACACGGCGAAATTTAGGTGGAAGCCTTTGGAAAACAGGATGCCGCCATCCTAACACTGAGCAAAGTGAAGCTCCGAGTAGAGGGGAGCACAGGTGTTTTCATTGGAGGAAAAGCTGCTGGAGCCCCTGGTTTCTGTGCGGGGGTACCCCCCCACCCCTCCATGGGTGGGAGCATCCTTGGGAGGAGCAGGAGGAATGGTCTTGAAGCTTCCACCTGAAAGAGCCCTGGTCCTGGGTGATTGAATCAAATCCCGTATCAGTAAACTTCCACCGCAGTGTCAGTCAGCGCCCCCCACCCCGTCACCTTTCTGTACAAACTGCGGAAAACCAAGGCAATGAGCCGATCAGGAATCGCTGAACAACATGGAGAAACCAAGCTGTGCAGAGATGGAGTGCAGGCATTTTGTCCACATCCCTGCTTCCAACTAGTTCCACTTTGATTTATCATCCACTCTCATCTCCCCCAAAGCACAAGGGTCTCCCTTGGGCCTCTGACTCTTCTTGGGTCTGGGATCTCACCGCCAACACGGTATTACTCACAAGGAGCTCTCTCACCACGTGCTACCCCCAAACCATCCTCGGCCACCCCCACCTCCAGCCCTTCCCACCTTGCCCCACTGCCTCCCTTTCCCTCTCACTCAGTCTGACCCTCACTCTCACTCTCCCCCCACCCCACCCCACCCATCCCTGTCCCTCCCTGACTCACTTCCAAGTCCCATTGCCACAAACAAAAATTTCAGCACAACCCACTCCAACCGGTTTGGCTTAGGTGTGCAGCCTGCCATGGGGACAGAGACAGGTTACAATCGGATGCCTGGACACATGCATGGGATGAACATACATGGTGATGCACACAGACACAGCCCTGGGTATGGACACGGCGTGTACTCATCCAGACACACGCGGGGAGCACATGATAGTGGGACAGTGTGTCATAGGTGCTTATGTTTCTGTCTCCCCTAATTGAGGGCTCATTAAGGGCAGGGACCATGTGTTATGTGTCTCTGTCCCCTCCCTGGAGCCTGGGGCACAGTGGTGCTCACTAAATGTCTGTTGAATGAACTAAGGCATGCCGGCGGCACAGTGTGATGCCACGCAGACAAACATACATGCTAAAGATGCCACCTGGGCTTGACTTGTTGCCATTCTTAGGGCCCAAACTGTGGGGTGGGTGGAGGGTAGATAGGCATGAGGGGAATTGGGGTTCACTGAGGAAGAGAGAACAGAACCCAAAAGACCAGGCACTGGGCTTGAAAGTCTGCCAACCAGCATTTTCTTCCAGCCCCAGCCCTGGAATCTGCCCTCCCCAGGCTTCATCCCAGAAGAGGGGAGGAGAGGCGTGAGTATGACGGCATGTGCCCTGAGAGCATGGCCCTCATGAGACATACGGGATGGAGGGCGCAAGGGGCAGAGGGACTCGGAGATGGCTGTTTGTTGGGAGGGGGGGAGAAAGGCCTGGAATGCCTGCCCGGTCTGGGTGCTCCCTCCCAGGCCCAGTGTGCCCGTAGCCCTCACTTCAAGCCCCCTCCGCTGTGTGCTAGGACTTGAATGTACCCATGAGAAAATATTGGGTCCATCCTGGCATTAATACCACCTTTGGAAGGGCTTCCTCCCTTCAGTGTCCCACTGCTGGAGTCGGAGGTGAGAAAGGGTCCCAACCAGGAACTCAGAGCCTCCTGGCTGGCAGCCCTACTGAGGGCTGGGACGCATTGTGAATGGCAAGGCTGAAGGAGATACAGGGCCTGGACCCTCACTTTGGGACCTAACTGCTTTCTCACCCCCATGTCTCAGTTTCCCCCGGTTTCCTGGACTGGGAAGGGCAAGCCGTGGGAAGGAAAGGAGCTCTTCTGAAACCAGGCGATAGGATCCAAGGTGTGATATGATAATTATAATTATAATACAGGATGCTCCCCCTCCCACTCCCCCGGCCTTACCCCGCCCTTGCCACAGTGGATCTCAAAGCAGCATCAGGGTGGGGCTGCTCCCCTGGCACAGGTGGGGACCTGAGTCCTGAAGAGGGGAAGGGGCTCGCTCAGGCAGAGGGGGAGAGAACCCGGGGAGCCTGGCACCCAGCCTGGCCCTGGGGCTACCACTGACCTACGGGAAACAGCCCTCGAAGAAGAGGGCACTACTATGGCCATTGCTGAGAGTGGGGACCTGGAGCCAGAGTTGGGGTAATGCTCCAGAGTAGGGTTAGCGTCCAGGTCACTGCCCCGGTCCATGAGTCAGGAGGTCTGCTGCGCCGACCTCACCTGACCATCTTCCATACTGACATCTGTTCATTCATAAATTCACATCTTCAACAAAAATGTGTTCTGTCCCCAGTAAGTGCTGTGGGCTGTCCTAGCATGGATAACTGAGATAAGGTTACAAAACAAGTCCGACCTTTGAAGGGTTCACAGACTACAGTTTAACGCATTTACTGATTCCCTGGCACACAACAGACTTCAATCGCTGCCTCCTGAATTGAGGCTTACAGTTTAGTGAAAGAGATAAGGTGTGCACAAATTATGAGTACACAAGCTGTAAGGAAGGGACTAGCAGAGGCTGAGGAGGAACGGAAGGGAGAGAGATTAGTTTGGGTGGGAGGAGCTGAGGCGTCTTCATGGAAGATGTGGCACTCCAGGTCAGCTTTGAAAGGTGAACAAGGTTTGACAGGTAAGGTTGCAGGGGGTGGGGTGGGAAATATTCTACGTGAAATGACCCTCCCTAACTGCCCTTGATTCCTCTTTCCTGCCCCTCTCCAGATAAAAGGGTCCTGCTTCAGATTTTAACCCATACCTTTCTTTCTTCTCTCATGTCTATCTGTATATTTACCTGTCTTTTTAGCCCCAGTGTGTCAGTGGCCTCACCCCTCGTCTTCACTCAGTATGTAGGGAGCTCAGAGTCCGCCCCTTGTTCTGTGGCTTGCCCAGATTGGCCAGTGAGGTTTTGTACAATGTGGTGGCTACGTTTCACGCATCCTAAATGGAAACACATGGTCTTACAGGTGTGACTGTACTTGTAGGAATATGGGAACAGGGTACTGAAACCAAGATTGTCCTTGCAAAGTCCAGACATACATGGTCTTGTCCAGTGACCACAGAATAAATGGGTAAAATGACCATGGACATGGTTGGGAGGAGCCCCTTTCCACTCAGGTTGAACTGATGCATTTTCAGGAGCTGAGAGATGGGCCCTGCTGGGGAGCCAGGACCCTGGGGCTAATTCCTGGACCGGTCCTTCTGCTTCTGGACATGGGTGGGAGCGGGGAAGGTCATGTGACTGCTTTCTCAGGGGCCTTTGAACCAGCTCCCTGCCTCGGGGATAGAGGTGTCCAAGCCAACCATGGTACTACCCAAGTGTGTGGCCTCCAGCAAGCCCCTGCCCCTCTTTGGGTCTCTTTTCTCCCCTGAAGAATAGGGTTCCTGGGCCTCAGGGCTGTTCTGGTCAGTTCTGGCCTTCTCTGATTCTGCAGCCCCCTAGCTGAGCCCTCCGCCAGGAGACTGGGGAGGCGGCAAGGCCGGGGGTGTGTGGGATGCTTGGGCTCCCTTCCGCCCACAAGGGCCTTGCCCTGTTCCCCTTGGCATGGTTCCTCCCTCTCTGAGCCACGCTGGGCCTTCTCCTTCCCCACCCCACCCCTCCCCACCTCTGCCTTCACTGCCCCTTGCACACACAGCCAGGTAAAGCCTGGAGCTGATGATGGGATCCCCCCCACCAGGTCCTCCCAGGGCCTTCCTTCCTTCCCTCCCTCCCTGGCGCCCATTAGCTGGCCTGGGCCATGGGGGCGGCGGCTGCTGAGTCTCTGTGCCAGGCCCAGCCCCCGGAGACGCACCTGTTCTGACCTGCTGAGCAGGTTCCCAGGTTTCTGCCGTCGTTGTTGGCCACGGTGTGGGAAGCAGCTCTGGGGGAGCTCAGAGCTCCCGATCACGGCTTCTTGGGGGCAGCTACAGCTGGGTGGGTGGAACGGGGCTGGACCGCTGTGGAGACCCCAGTGGACCAGGGCACCAGTGAGGACGCCGTGACTTCTGCCGTCTGAGTCTGTGCCCTACCCAGCGCTAGAGCCGGCTCCCAGGGAGAACTCGGTGGGACTTCAGAAGCTCCGGCCAGCTCTGCCTTGTGACCATGGCCCTGTCCCTGGGAGCCGAGATGTGGGGGCCTGAGGCCTGGCTGCTGGTGCTGCTCCTGGCATCATTTACAGGTAGGACTTGCCTGGACCATCAGGACCTTTGCTCCTGAGCCTAAGCCAGCACACACACACACACGCACACGCACACATACACGCACACACACGCGCATACACATTGTTTCCTTTGACTCTGGACTGAGCCATCATTCTCTCTCTCCCACCCCCAGCTGCCTGCGGGGCCCCCAGAAGAGCCAGTGTAGCTCTTCCCCCTCAGGTCCCCTTCCAGTCCCAGGCAGGTTGCTATGTCTGGGGTTCCTGACTACCACTGGCTAGGCCTTGCCTGGGCCAAAGCTGCCAGTGGGGATACGGATATGTGGACCCTGGGCAAGTGGGCAGGGAAGTGGAACTGGTGGGAACCTCTCCACCCCAGCGTTTCCTGGAGGCACCTTCACTTACCCCCTGGGCTCCAGAACTGCTGACTGGAGCTGGGGCTGACTCAGGCTGAGCTGGTCTCAGCAGTCATCATGGTGTAGGAAGCTTGATGCCCAGAGAGCAGACAGGCTACTTCTAGCTCCAGCCCCGCTCTCTCCCAGGGCACACTGTTAGATGCCAGGGTGGTAATAAGGTGGTTACATAAATGAGTGGGGATCTAGGGTAGGGTACCTTCTAGATGGTGTGGCCCCCTTTCGTTCCATGCTTCCCCATTTTCTTAACTAGATGCTTTGTATTACTCCTGCCTAATGTATATCAAGCAGATATAAATTACAGGAATTTATAATCTCCAGAGTAGCAGAGTGTGTGTGTGTGTGCACAATGAGAACACAGTGGGGTTCCATAGACTGTTTCCAGGGTAATGAGTAACTGAGAAGTCTCTCTCCTCGGAAAGACAGGCCCCTGTCTGGCCAGGACAGTTTGATTCCCAGTCCCAAGCCCAGTAGCATGGGGGCTGCAGTTGTCCAGCGGGGCCCAGTGGGGACCCCGCAGCCCATCCCCAGCCGAAGCTGTCAGGAGGAGAGGAGGCCTAGATGTGTGGAGGGGTGGGGCTGCTCGTGCTCCTATCTTATAATGGAAGGGTCGCTGGCCCTGCCTCCAGTCACAGCATCCTGAGCTCCAACCCCTGCCCTCTCCCTGCCCACCCCCCATCTCAGTTCCCACCTTCCAGAACACCTTCGCACTTGCTTAGGCCAAGAGGGCGGGGCCTGGATGCCAGGGCCAGGAACTGGGCAGTCGCTAGCCTATGGGATCTACCCACACCTACAGAATGGAGCCATGATGTCTCAGGACTTGGAAGGGATCAAAGAGATCGCCGCTCCAACTCCCTCATTTTACAGATGGGAAAACAGAGAAACAGGTGGCCAGGAGAGATCCCAGGATTACTCAGTATTAGAAGCACAGCTGAGGTTAATGTGTTGGTCTCCCAACTCCTAGTTCATTAAAGAATATATCTAAGTACACACGGGGTACAGCCAGGGTTCTATGCTGGAGACGCAATGGGGAGTAAGACATGATCTTGGCCTTCCTTTTCCATGGCACCAAGCTATTCTTCCTAAGAGAGCCCACGGAAGGGGAGAGGCAGCCCCCTTTCGGCTAGGGCCTCAGCCTGCCCTTGCCCAGTGCCTGGTGGACAGATGCTGTGGCCAGCGAGGAAGCCCAGCTCCAGGACAGCCCCGGGGAGCTGGTGCCCAGTGAGCGCCCCCTCCCCTGCCACTGCCGCTGTGACCTCCCGGAGCAGGAGTGTGCTCTGAGGGCTCGAACTCAGACCCAGGGTCCCAGCCTGGCGATCAGAAGGGCCCACTTCCACTGCCACCCCCATTCTGGCCTTTCTGGGTGCAGTCATCTACCCAGTGGCCCCAGAAAACTGGAGTGTTTCTTGCCTCTGAAAAAGCCTTGGCCTGGGAAATCAGGAGTCAGGTTCTGGCCCCGTTTCTGCTTTTAATTTGCTAGGTGGCTTTGGGCAACTAAGAAATTAGACTTTAGAAGATGCAGGGATAGGACCAGATGATCTCTGTGGGCCTTCCAGCTCTGAAATTCTAAGGCTGTGTGCTTGTCCAGCCCCTGACTGAAAGGGGATGCTGGGAGAGTGAGTGAGTCTGGCTGCAGAGATACAAGTGGGGCAGGCCCAGGCCCCATCTCTCAGTGGGGACCAAGGGTAGCCTTACCTTGCATACTGCCCTCTGGCCCTGCCCTGCTGCAAATCAGTGCCCCCCCAACTCTTGAGCCATTAGAGCTCTGAGCCCCAGGGCCCTGCCCCACCCCTGCCAGGGAGAGGAGCCCAGGTTTGGGAGGCGCCTTGACACCACAGCTCTTTGTCTCTCCTTAGTGGGATGAGTTTCCGGGTGAGGGCCCGTCCCTTCTCCCTCCTTCATTTCCTGCCCTGGGGCTGAGGGGCCCAAATCTACAGATACCCCTCTACTAGGATCCTAGTTCCCAGCCCTTTGTGCCTCTGTGCCTCGCTGGGCCCTGCAGTGGGTCTGGGGTTCTCTGAATCCTGAGGTCTGTCCTGTGAGGGTTAGGATCAGCTTTCTGACTGAGGTTAGTTTCCTAGAAAGGGGGAGGCCCACCCCTGCTCTCCTACCCCTGTTTACAGAGGGGGGCAGGCCCTTTCCTGTAGGATCTACCCAAACCCAGGGAAGCCAGAAAGGAAGGCCAGCTTCCCCACCCAAGGTGGGGAGAACTAGGAGAATCCCAGGGAAGCCCCAGGGCCCCAGTGACCTCGGTCCTGCCCTAGTGTTTCAGAGGCTGAGCTAAGGGGACCCCAGCCACAGAGATGGCAGCGAGGAGCTCACAGGAGAGTCCACAGTGCCAGCTTCTAGACCACAGCCTGGAAATCCTGGGGTCCTCCAGGCAAAGTGAGGGGGGCCTGCTACCTGGGAGAACAAGCCGAGTGGGGAGAGAATGCCTGGGTCTTCTGGCCTCCACGACTTGACCTTGTGCTGACCAAAGTCTAAGCAGAGAGAAGGGGCACTCTCTGGGGGCGGGGTGGAGAGCTGAGTCCGGAGGGAGAGGAGGAGAGGAACCTAGGGCCTGGGTCTGGGAACAGGACCTGAAATGCCAAGGTCAAGTCCAGAACTGGGGGCCAGCCTCCAAGCCTCCTGGAGGTGGTGGTTGGGATGGTTCTTCCACCAGCACTGAGCTTCTGGCCTCAGGAGGTTTTCCCAGTGTTCTGGCCACCTCCCTCCCCACTTGCCTTTAAAACTGGTGTGTCCTGAGAGCTGGGTTGAGGCTGTGATTTGGGGTGGGGCAGGGGCAGAGCTGGCCACACTTGGTGGGGGTGGCTGGCTGGCAGGATCTTAGGGAGGGGGGCATCTAGGACTTCAGGAGTCTGGGAGAAACTGAATTCTGGGTCTCCCACCCCGCGTGTGGCTGTTGTGGTGACTCAGCCAGGCCCAGAGTCTGTCTCTGGGAGTTGGGGGGGGGGGTTTAGGGGATGTACCTGTGTGGGGAGCTGTGTCTGGGCCTGGGCCGGAGCCTGGGCTGCCTCGAGGCCTGTCCTCCCCCACTGTTCCCCTCGCCCTTTGTTATTGCTGTGCCCCCTCCCCAGACACTGATCTGTGATGGGCGCTTGGCCTGGGGCTTGGGAAGCTCTAACTAAGCTGGGGGGCTTAGGGCAGTGGGGGTGAGGGAGGGAGGTGGTTGAAGGCAGAGGCAGAATCTCCTTGTTTTCAAAGTTCCTTGGCACTCCAAGGCCAAGGTTATGGGGGGAGAGTGCAAGAAAAATGGCTTGCTGAGTCGATGATGTCACCTGTCCTGAATGGGGGGCTTTAGGGCCGCCCTCCCGGGTCCTTACCCCAAACTCACCCACATATTCCAGCTCTCTCTGGTGGAGGCTGCTGCTGTGGGGTGAGGGGACGCAAGAGTTAATAAAGGAGACAGAGCCCCTTAGACAGCTTGGACCCCTCCCCTTAGCCTCAGGCAGGGTCCCCCCCTTCCCACCAAACCCACACCAGACAACCCTTACCCCAGGCCTGGGGTTGGAGCTGGTTTTTTTGGTGGTGACAGCAGAGGCCTGACAGATTCCCAGGGAGAGGCCTTCTCAGGGGGCCAGAGGAGCTGGGGGGCCAGGGGAGTGGCTGGGGGTGGGGTGGACGGGTGGGAGTCCTTCTGTAGAACTTGAGGAGCAAGGGTAGAACGGGCTTTTGTTTTGTTCTGTGGGGAGCCCTTGATGGCAATTTCTCATCACCTGGAGGGACAGTGACCTCATCTCTGGGTACCTCCACCTGAGATGAATCTGCCCTCCAGCCCCAGGTGAGGTGAGGAGGGATGCCTGGGAGACACTCCAGGCAGGACGCAGAGGCAAAGGCGCAGAGCCACACACCACTGACCAAGGGCAGCTGAGGCGGAGAGACACGCGGAAGCCACAAGAAGCCAACACCAAAATATTTACTCTGTATGCAGAGTTCCGCGGGATGGGATGCATGCCATGCACACGGACACGTGAGGTGCACATGGAATGGGTGTGCACACACATTCGCTCAGCAGTCCCCAGCTCTTCTCTCCGGATGCAGACAAGCACATATGCCCTCCGAAAGATACGCTGTGAGCACATGTATGTGTGAAACCCCCCAAGTTCATGCAAGGAGACAGCCTCACATGCGTGTGAACCAGTGCTGACTCCCTCCGGGCCCTCGCCCAAAGGTATTACACATTCAGACACAAAAGACTCACACTTCCTCCCTTCCTCCTCTTCACAGACCCACCTCTAGGACTGCTATGTGTACCTCTGTATTTACTTGCACCCCTGCTGAGGGAGAAAGGCCCCAAAAATGTTATCTGCTGCTGCCAGCCTCAGTTTCCCCTCCTGAGATCAGAGGCCAGGCCTTACACAAATAGGAAAGTTGGGACCCAAGCAAGGGTGGGGAGCAGGCAGCCAGCCCAAGCCAGGAATGGAGGGCCTGTCTGGGAGCGGGCGGGGTGCACCGAGGGCAGGGCCCCAAAGAGGCCCGTGGGGGCCTGGCCACGGGTGGGGGAGGCCGAGGGCAGGGATCCCGTCTGGCTAGTTGGGCCTGTTCTCTCCCTTGCGCAAGGTGGTGGCTGGTGGCGGCTGGGGCTGGGGCTGGGGCCTTGCAGCAGCGTCTGCATCTCCAAGGCTCCGGCCCTGCGTCCTGCAGCTCCTGGGGGGAGGGGTGGGGAGGGCCATGGGGAGGAGTGCCCAGGCAGCAGAGTCCACCAGCCTCAGCAAACAGTTTGGGTCCGTGAGCTTGGCCTGGCTTGGCAACTGCATGCCCGCAGGGTGACCTCACCAGGCAGGCGGTGTGTCTCCTCTGCTCTGGTGACATCATCATGCTGACGCCGGGCGGGCACTGGGTGGGGGAGAGAAGGAGGAGGCAGTCCTGGCCTGCCCTGGCCTGGGAGTCTAGGCTCTGGGTCCACTCAGCCCAGGATAGAGATTCTAGAGGCCAAATCCCTTCTCTTGTAGCCCGCGTGTGTGTGCGTGTGTGTGCCAATGCACGTGTGTGAGCTGGAGGGGGGTGTTGCCCCGAGCTGAGATGTGCCCACTAAATAGTGGATTTAGGACAGTGAGGGGCTTTGGGGGAAACACAGAAGGGACTTTCCTGTTTTACTAAGTTCCTTATCCTAAAAAGCTTGGGCTTGTCACTTGGGAGTGAGGCTTGGGGATTCACAGGTGGGGAGGGAGAATTTAGACTCAGGCATGTGATGGGTCCTAAGAGGGTATGGTCTGAGGGAAAATGTAGGTGATTGGTGGTGGGGAGGGGGCAGATGGTCAGCAGGCATAGGGATGGAGACAGAAAACATGTCATGTGACATTGTCCCTGACAGAGTCTTTGGAAGGGTTTGAGTGTCCTAAGGAAGCAGGGCTTCGGATCCCTGCAGAGACACCAGCACCAGCTTTTGAAGCACCGGACAGGCTGGGAAGGCCCATCTCAAGCCCACCTCCAGGCCTTCCTTGGCAGCCCTGCCCCCTCCAATGCCAGGAGGAGGTGCCTGGGAGGGTGGGTGCGGGTGGTTAGCTGGACTCCCAGTCTGGGCTGGGTGGGACCCACACCAGCTTAGACAGGTCAGGGCCCTGGTATCTGGCCCTGCAGGTCTGTCCTGTCCTGTTCAGCCCCTCCCAGCTCCCGATAGCATCCTCCCTCCCTTCACCCCTTCTAGCAAGGGCCACAGGACCCCCTTCCCCTGCCCCATGCTCTGCCTCACAGGACCCCTCTAGTGAGGCTTCACTTTCTTCCTCCGTCCCCCTCTCTCTCCCTAAGCCCAGTCAGGGGTGCTCCCGCTGGCAGTGGACTCAGCTAGCCAGTCCATCCGGCTTCTGCCCCAAGGTTGCCCTGTCAGCCCCCTCCCTGCCCAACCCAACACACGACTACTCAGCCCTGCCCCTTCTACACTTTCCTTCTGGTCATCTCTCATTCATTCAGTCAGCAAACATTAATTGAGCAACAATTACGTGCCAGGCATGCAGACCGCATGTTTCCGAATGTGATGTGAGACCCAGTTTCTACTGTTGGCGAGCTCTGTGTGGTGGGAGAGGCCGGCAAGAAAAGAACAAATAGGGCCTGTGGGATAAAGTACAGTTATAGGGAAAGGCAGGGTGCGAGGGAAGGAGAAGAGTAGACGCAGGCCCTGCCTGAGGTGGGGGTGGGGGCAGGGAGGCCCAGGAGGAAGCGATGTCTCCGCGGCGTCTTGCAGGATGAGTAGGAGCTACCAGACATAGGCAGGCGGGCGTTCCAGGCAGGGGCTGTGTGCGCAAGGTGAGGAACAGCGGCGTGTGCGAAGTGCTGGCCAGAGGCAGGGGCTGTGAACTTTTGGGAGCTGCTGGATACAAATTCCATGGCAAGGAGCCTTGGCCATCCCAGAGGGCCTTTGCTCTGCCCCCAGCCCAAATTTTACTGCTTTAATCCGCAGCTCCGTGTGTATTTCTTCCTGGCCCCGAGCTTCCCCAGGCCCCGCCTCCCTCAGAAGTTACTCATCCTGGAAACCTAGGAGTTGTCTTTGGGTCTTTCCTCTCTTCTCTCTCTCTTTCTGGTCGGTGACCAAATCCAGCTAAGATTCCCCCCCGGGCGCCTGCGCCCTCCTCTCCACCCCAGTGGTGCCGCACAGGCTGCAACTGCAGCTTCCCAGTGACTGTCCTGTCTTCCACCCCCAACTTCCTAGTCTGAGGGCACATCACCACCGGCCTCATGTTTTACTGACTCCCTATTTTCTCTTGACCAGGTTAGAGTTCCTTTGCCTGGTATGGAAGGTCTTGGGTGACTTGCCTGACCGTGTGTTCCACTCCTGCACGACCCCCAGTCCCTGCTTGTGTCTCCTCTCTGCTTCCTGAGCTAGCCACCTCTCCATGCCCATCCTGGCCCCTCACCTGGGACCCCCTTCCGGGGCTCTCCCCCTCCTGATCCTACCCTGCTGGTACGTGAGGTCCTCCCGCAGGACGCAGGTCCACAGCGACTGTCCTATCCTAGAACTTGCCTGCAACACACACCGGGCACTCAGTCAGGAATCACACAGGTTTCCGTATTTGTCTCCACGTGGAACTCCTCCACCTGAACAGATCTCTGGTTCCAGGACAGGAAATGGGTCCTTCTTTGCAGATAAAGCCACGGGATACACACCCCTGAGTGCGTCATACTGTTCCTTCATCGCTGGGTGCCGTCTCTTGGTCCTCTGATTCTGGCAAACCACTGCCGCTGCCGCTGCGTGTCTACCCTGACCTCATCTCCCTGGGCCTTTGACCTGGGGCCCTTCTGTCTTGGATGGCTTGCTCATTCCTGCCTCCGAGCTTCGGTTCGTGCCATCCCTCCTACATAGAATACCTTCTTCTCTTTGGGAATCCAGGTCTCTCATCTCCAAGCCATGAAAAGAATGCTCTGAAGGGCCTACTGGGACCCTTCCTACACTGCACGTCCCACTCCAGACACCAGCTGCTCTCGCCCTTCGTCGGCTCCTGGCCACACGGCCTGAAAGCACTCACTTTCTCCCCCTTGGTAGGAGGAGCCTTCTGTGAAAGTCTGTCACGCTGTCTCCCCACCGCTCCCCCCACCAGTCTTTCCCTGAGAGGCCTGAGAGCTCCCTGAGGGCGGAGGCTGGGTCTCTGCCCCAGCCCCAGCCTCCCACCTGGCCATTGCTCAGGACACAGTCCTGGGCTGGGAGTCTGTGTGGCCTTAGGCAAGTCACTTCCTCTCTCTGGGTCTCAGTTTGCTCTTCTGTTAAGTGGTGATAATAACGCCTACTTCTTGGGAATGTTTTGTGGATCTAATGAGGTCATGGACTGAATGCGCTTTGCAAGCATAAAATGCTCCCGGAGTTCCATCTGCTTTTGCTGTCATTACCATTATGAAAAAGTGTTCCCCCGGCTGTGGCAGCGCCCCTAATCCTGGCTGCTCCTGTCTGCCCCCTGCAGGCCGATGCCCCGCGGGCGAGCTGGAGACCTCGGACCTGGTGACCGTGGTGCTGGGCCAGGACGCAAAGCTGCCCTGCTTCTACCGAGGGGAACCCGGCGAGCAGGTGGGGCAGGTGGCATGGGCTCGGGTGGATGCGGGCGAGGGCGCCCGGGAGCTGGCGTTGCTGCACTCCAAATACGGGCTGCACGTGAGCTCGCCCTATGAGGGCCGCGTGGAGCAGCCGCCGCCCCCGCGGGACCCCCTGGACGGCGCGGTGCTCTTGCGCAACGCCGTGCAGGCCGATGAGGGCGAGTACGAGTGTCGTGTCAGCACCTTCCCCGCCGGCAGCTTCCAGGCGCGGCTGCGGCTCCGCGTGCTGGGTAAGTGCTCCAGCCGGCAAGGTCGGGCTACTGCGTGTGTGCAGAGGCACGGGGCCTGGAGGGCAGAGGCCCGAGGCAGGGGGATGCTGAGATGGGGACTGTAGAAATGGGTGGGGGCAGCGGCAGAACAGGAGTAAGGGGTGGGGTGCTGGAGAGATGAGGGAGCCTCATCCAGCCCATCCTCCTCCCCGATCCACAGATTCTCTTCAGTGACCCCAACAGCCTGATAGGGCTTGGTCAGCCTTGGGGAAGGATCCGTTCATTAGGAAGTTCTTCCCTCTGAAACCTCCGTCTCGGTGACGTTTACCCTCTGGAGCAATAGGATCCAGGCTTATTCTCTCTTTGGCACAAGTCTTTCAAAGAGCAGAGGTCCTTTGTCTTGTCCCCCGCTCCCCCCGCAACATACCCACACACCCCCAGTCTCTTCTCCAAGCTGAACTCACTGGTTTCCGCAGCAGTTCTACCAAAGACATTCACCTAAAGCCTCCCTTGCTATCTGGAGCTCCATGGTTGTAAAGAGTGGGGCCCAGATGTGACATGCAAGCCCAGCTCTGACCAGTGTGGCCTTCAGGGGATGTGGCCAGAGACCACAATCGCCTTTCAAGCCACTTTGTGCTGTGGGCGCTCATGGTCAGTGATGGCCTGGATGGATGGTCAAGTTAAGTCTTTTCCATCCTGTCACTGGGTCTTAATGAGATGAAGTTACATGTAAAAGCCTTTATAGTGTCCCTTCACCACATGACAGTCAGTGACAGCAACCATTAGGTAGAAAAACCTGGGAGTGAACCTAGACTTCATCACCTACCAGCGGACAGTCTGGGACAGATGACTTTACCTCCCTGAGTCTCCATTTCCTCACCTGTAAAACTGGGATAATAATACCTACCTCATCGGTTTGTTGACAGGGTTAAATGAGATGTTTGCAAAGTGTTCAGCATGATACTTGACACATAGTAAGTGCTGAATAAATGGTGGCTATTATTATATAGCTGTCATCTGATTAGTTTTTTATTACTTCAGTATTTTTATAAAAAATGACCCGAGCTCATTGTAAAAAATTCAAACCATGGAGAAAAGTACATAGTCAGCTGAGATTCTTCCCCTCATCCCGTGTCTTTGTTGGTGACGTAAGAGAAGAAAAAGGGCCCGACCCTGCACCTGCGCAGGACAGACTGGAGGTGGGGCGGGGCCTCCTGATGGAGGTGGTGAAGATCGTGACGCCTGCCCCCTGCCATCTGCAGTGCCTCCCCTGCCTTCACTGAATCCTGGGCCAGCACTCGAAGAGGGCCAGGGCCTGACGCTGGCAGCCTCCTGCACCGCAGAGGGCAGCCCCGCCCCCAATGTGACCTGGGACACAGAGGTCAAGGGCACAACGTCCAGCCGCTCCTTCAAGCACTCCCGCTCAGCTGCTGTCACTTCAGAGTTCCACCTGGTGCCCAGCCGCAGCATGAATGGACAGCCGCTTACCTGTGTGGTGTCCCACCCTGGCTTGCTCCAGGACCAAAGGATCACCCACATCCTCCAAGTGGCCTGTGAGTGCTTGGATGTTGGGGAGGGAGACTCCATGGGCTCTGAGAGGATGAGTGAGATACCGAGAGACCCTGAGCCACACCAGTCTGGCCAGCTTGGGTCCTGGAAGCCACCTTACGTGGTGGCCAAGAGAGCACTAGTCCAAAGGTAGAAGACCTGGAGCCCATCCCAGATGACCCTGGCAAATCACTGACCTTTGGTGTCTTCCTGTTTACAAAGGGATTGCCCTGCGTCACCGGGTTGTTGGGAGACTCGGATACAAACAAAATTCACAGTTTAGGACTTGAAGACAGACTGACTTGGGACACGTCCTAGTTCTGTTATTTACCAGCTGTTATTCAGTCTCGTTAGGCTTCATTTTCTGTACCAGCAGAAGGAATAGCATTATACCAACCTTACAGGGTTCTGATGGGAAATGGGAACCGTGAATGCAAAGCATCTTGAACAGTGCATAGTGCACAGATGGTGCTCAGTAAACGTTGACATTGTTTTTCTAGCATGAGACTTTGAGCTCTTGGGGGCTAGGACTGTTTTCTACTCATTCTAACCCAGCATTTGGCACAAAATAGGTCTTCAACAAATAAGTTGTTAAGGAAGTGGATAAACTAGTAGGACTGTTAAGTCTTTGAAGAATCAGAGAGCTTTTGCTGAGCACCTGTTCTGTGACTAGCACTATGGTAGGGACCACAGGGGATTCAGAAAAAGGGTGACACATCGCTATGCTGAGGTACTTAGAGGCTTACTGCACAGGCAAAGCATGGACTCTGAGCTTAGAAGTGGGAGGGAACCAGGTGGTTGAGAGCTGTCAGCAAGGTGGGGCTGGACTAGGTTTGGCTGCAGATGAATAGGATGGAGAAGGGCAGGGGGAGGCTATTACGGGCAGGGCGGGGTATGGGGTGGGGCCTTTCAAGGAACACCATGATCAAAAGCATCATTCCCATTCTCTCTCCTCCTGTCTCCCGTTCTAGTCCTAGCCGAGGCCTCTGTGAGGGGCCTAGAAGACCAAAAGCTGTGGCAGGTTGGCCGAGAAGGGGCCACACTCAAGTGCCTGAGTGAAGGACACCCCCCTCCCTCGTATAACTGGACACGGTAGGGCCTGGGCCCTCCTCCAGGCCTAGCCTGGGACCAGAGTCCTTCCCTCTCAGGGCCAGCATGTACTCATTATGGGCCGGAACAGTATATTCTGAACCCCAAATAAATTGGGGCACATGTTCAGACCAATGCAAGAACATGCATGGTCACCAAATATTATTACTGGCTTGCACCAGGGAGGCTAGGCTACTTGGTTATTGGTGGGAAATAAGCTAATAAGCCCTTGTGTTTTGTTCCCCCAACTTTTAAATTATGAAATATAGTATTCAAGTATCAATATTTTGTATATTTATGTAAGTGTCTAAAGTGGAGAAGACAAAAGATAGAGTTGATTGTTATTAAACCCGCACTCCTGTCATCACTACAATGTTGCCAGTGCCTCAGAAGCACCCACCCACCTCCACCAGTGCTTGGCTTTTTTCCAAGGTCTGTGATGTCTAGAGAGTCAGGGAGGGGTCAGGTGCACATGCATGTGAGCCCATGACAAGCATGTTCTCACGGGTGAGCAGAGGAGCCATGCATGTGGCCCTGTGCCTGGGGCTTTGTTCACCTCCCTGCCATGCAGCCTCATGGGGGTCGGGGCACGCAGTACACCTCCAAGTACACCTGAGCCCAGAGAGGAATGGAGTGTCCCCTCTTGTGGACTTTATTCCATCTGTACCTGGTACCCAGTGCTGGTGACGTGGTGTGGGAGCATGTGGGATGGCACACATGTGGGTCTTCCCCGAGTGTGTGTGGGGGGTGCCAGGGTCAGGCTGGGCGGCAGGGAAAGGGGGCCTCTGTCCAGACCTGCCTAGGGGAGGGAGGGGCACCGTGGGAACAGCCGCTGGCTCTGGGTGACATCAAGGGGGAGGGAGGTGGAGAGCTGCCTGGGCACGCTGGCTGGTGGCAGGGCAGCCCGCCCCGGCCGGCACCCATCAGCTTCCCTATCCTCCAGGCTGGATGGGCCTCTGCCCAGTGGGGTACGAGTGGAAGGGGACACTCTGGGCTTCCCCCCGCTGACCACTGAGCACAGTGGCATCTACGTTTGCCGTGTGAGCAATGAGCTTTCCTCCAGGGATTCTCAGGTCACTGTGGATGTTCTTGGTAAGCACTGGGGCAGAGACAGGGGCCAGGGGCCGGGGCCCGGGGCCCAGGGCCTGGTGGGGCAATAGGGGAAAGACAGAGAGTGACCTGGGAGAGTATTTATTCGGAGTGGGCTGAGCTGCATGCGTTCTGCAGAGGGCCTGGCTGAGGGGGTGGTTTGGGATGTTCTGTGAGAGCTGTGGGGTCTGGGGGTGGGCCAGGCATCTGGGCATCCACCTCAGACAGACGCCTGTCTCCAGCAGACCCTCAGGAGGCCCCCGGGAAGCAGGTGGACCTGGTGTCGGCCTCCGTGGTGGTGGTGGGTGTGATCGCCGCGCTCTTGTTCTGCCTTCTGGTGGTGGTGGTGGTGCTCATGTCCCGATACCATCGGCGAAAGGCCCAGCAGATGACCCAGAAATAGTGAGTACTGGCCACTCTGGGGACAGTAGAGCTAAGCTTGGAACAAAGAGGAGGCGAGCAGGTGGGCCAGAACTGAGGAGAGAGAGAGGAGACAGGGGCCTGACACCTGGGGGCTTATGGGCCACAGGTGGGCAGAGTCTTTCTGAAGGAGCCTGGGGCCTGAACCACCGCTGGACGCGGGAGAAGCCTACTGCCCGAGTGCAGGTCAGGCCCACGTGCCTCAGTCCCACCAAGCGCACATTGGCGCAGGTGCACGTCCTGGCATGCTCGCTTTGGAGCCACACCGCCACCTGCAGCCACCCACTCACACTTGCAGGGCAGCGCAGCGCACACACACTCTCGCCTCTCACAGAGGCTCAGCCAGGCCTCGCTCGCCTCGGGCGGGCTCCCACCACCCCCAGCTCCTGACGGGGCGTGTCTTTCCCAGTGAGGAGGAGCTGACGCTGACCCGGGAGAACTCCATCCGGAGGCTGCATTCCCATCACGCAGACCCCAGGAGCCAGGTGCGTGCAGGTTGGAGGCCCTCACGGGGCCGGGCCCCTCTGCAGAGTGGGAGCTCAGCCCTCCGCCGGGTCTGGCCGCTGGCTGGCAGCTGGGGCGGCGCGGGGCGGAGTTGGGGCGCAGGGGCTTGGGTCTGCCGGGCTCCTCCGCAGGCTCCCCAGCACTGGCCTCGGGCTGCTCTGCGAGCCGCCCGCCACCTGCACCGGTGCCTGGGTGGGACTAGGGTGGGAAGCGATGAAGATGTTTGTACCGAGGAGAGAGGAGGCACCGGGGCTGGGGGAAGGCGACTAGGGAGGAGGCTGGGGGAGGACCGACGTGAGGAGCCGAGCCCTGTTCTGACCCCTCCTCCGTGTCCGGGCCCTGCAGCCGGAGGAGAGTGTAGGGCTGAGAGCCGAGGGCCACCCTGATAGTCTCAAGGACAACAGTAGCTGCTCTGTGATGGTGAGGCCCCCGGCCCCACCGGTGTCCCCACCATGCTCCTCAGGCCCCTCTCCTGGTCCCACGTGGGGCGCGCCAGCAGCTCCCTCGCCTCAGCCGGGGCTCCTGCCGCCTGGCCCTCACCTCCGCTGCGCCTTTGCTCTCTGTCTCCCCTTCCCCGTGCCTAACGCTCACTCCTGGCCCCTGATCTCTGAGCTGCTCTGCCTCTGGGTCAACTGTAACCCCTGCTTGTGCGTGACCTCGGACCCCACCGAGCCCCAACCAGCGCCCCTCGTGTCTGGCTGCCCTGCCTTGGTCCCTGATTTGCCCTCTGCCCTTGCTCTCCAGAGTGACGAGCCAGAGGGCCGCAGTTACTCCACGCTGACCACGGTGAGGGAGATCGAGACCCAGACCGAACTGCTGTCTCCAGGGCGGGCCGAGGAGGAGGAAGACCGGGACGAAGGCATCAAACAGGCCATGAACCATTTTGTCCAGGAGAACGGAACCCTGCGGGCCAAGCCCACTGGCAACGGCATTTACATCAATGGGCGGGGGCACCTGGTCTGACCCAGGCCTGCCTCCCTCCCTGACCCAGGCTCCTCCTGCTGACATGGAGGATTTCAGCTTATCTCTGGGGCCTCCCTAAACATCCCATTTCTTGAGGAAGATGCTCCCCAGCCCACTGAGTGCTCGACCTTTTCCTCCAACCCTGCTGTTGGACGAGGGGAGGGCTCCACTGGTTGAGTCGTTCCCCTCCGCGTGTGCGGGTCACTGTGTGTGCATTGGTGCCTGTGTGAGTGTTCGCTGCCCGTGTGAGCGTGTAAAGGGGTGACTGTGCCCATGGTGTGCATCGTGCTGTCGTGTCAGAGTCCAAGTGAACCGCAGTGTGTGCTCCACAGGACTCGGGCGGTGGCATGGGGAACCGTCAGGGTCTGGTTTGTGTGTTGTGTGGCTCTGTGACCTCTGCCTGTAAACGCAGGTGTTTTCCTCAGACCCCAGAGCAGTATTAATGATGCAGAGGTTGGAGGTGAGAGGTGGAGACTGTGGGCCAGAGCCAGGTGTGCTGGCCTAGCTGGAGCTGGAATCTGGCTGCCTCAGTGGGGGAGCCGGGTTCCCACTGCTGGGGAGCCGTGGGGTGCGTGCTGCAGCTGCCCTGGGGGTGCTGCCAGAGGCTCCAGCTGTTAGCCAAGAAGCCCTCTGCCCTCTGGTGGCTTCTGGGCCTGCTGCATGTACATACTTTCTGTAAATAAACCTGCGCGGGGGAGCTTCTTTAAGGAATACTGCTCCGAATCCTTTAATAAGAGAAAAAGAACAGTTAAAAGACTTCTGATTTATCTGGCTGTTTGTCACTGCTAGGATAGCTTAAAGGGAGGCCACCCCACACCTGAAGTCAGCACACCTAGGCCTTCCTGAGACCCCACCCCAGGGGGCTCTGAAAGGTGCTCCTAGGCAGCCCCTTGGGAAGGAGGGAGCCTGAGGGCCATGGGGTCTGAATTAGGGCCGTGAGTCCACAGTTACTGGCTAAGGGAGGATAAGGCAGGGCCTGGGCCCTGCGGCTCCTGGGCCCTTCCTGGCCTCATCTCTTTCCTTAGCTGTACCCGCAGTGTGTGGTCCTGTGGCGGGTTGCTGAGACTGGGCGCCGCGGACTTGTGGTTCGCTGTGGTGTACGGGAGAGGGTAGTGGTTACAGACCAAGGAAGGGAGACTCGAGGAGCGAAGGAGCTGCTGGGGGCACGGGTGTCTCCCTTCCTCTAGGGCCCTCAGGGTCACTGACTCGGGCTCTTCTGGCAGTTTCTGTGGGTGTGGGCTGAGGTTAGATAAGGTCCTTTTCCCCTGGTCAACCAAACACCCAGCCAGCATACCTAAATCCAGTGCCTAAACCCTGCTTGCGCGGAAATCGGCCGCATTTCCGGACCAAGGGAGAGACTTCTATCCCCCGATCCCCAGATGGCCCAGGACCTTGGATGCGCAGCCCGCCGATTCCTCGTATGTACATTTTGTGTAAATATGTGCATATTTGTACATAAAGCGATATTCTGTTTTTAAATAAACAGATAAAACCTGTTCTGTCTGGTGCCTGCCTTGCCCCCTGAGCTCTGTAAGCCTGACCCCCTCTCCTCTCTGTTTTCAGCATCATCCTCCCTGTGGTCCCACACAGGGGAGGAGCTAGGATGCTCACGGCAGGGAGGAAAAGGGGATAGAAATGGCCTCCACGAAGCCTCTAGCCATCTCTGAGAGTCCCCAAGAAGGACAGGAGCTAAGAGCCCCTTCCAGGATAGCCGGCGTCTTAGTCTGCAGGGTGGTAAATCCTGTGCCGTCTCAGTCTCACCACAGCAGACCTGGGAGGTCCACAGTCATATACACTTTGTACAGAGAAAGAAACCGAAACTCAGAGGAGTTCCCCAGAATGTTAGCGCTGGGAGGATTTAAAGATCACCAAGTCCACACCCTTCATGTTCATCTGTGTGGAAACTGAGGCAACGTGACCTGACCGACGTTACAGCACGCCAGGGGCAGAGTCGGGGTATCCTCCATCCTCGGTGTGCTTTGCTCAGCCCCGTGCCGTCTCGCCCCAAGGCCCGCGTCAGGTCTCTACCTCGGACCCCGAATTCTGGTTTCTAAGGGTGTCAGTCACCTGCTCACACCCTAGGCGCCACCACCCCACCCCAGGGCTCTGACGTCACCTTCCTCTTGACCAATGAACAAATCCCATCATGGGTTGAGGATGTGAATGTCAGCTACCTCCCCCACCCCAGGCCCTGTGGTTGCAAAGATGCTCTAACAGGAAGCGGGTTTGAGAAGCTGCACAGCTTCCTGCCCCCCAGGGCTGAGAAGGGCGAGTGCCAGGCCAGGCCACGAGACACAGCTTCTTGCCAGTGTCCTGGCAGCTTCCTCTTCCACAGCTACTTCCGTGTGGCCGGAGCCCCAGAGGCAGGAGCTGTGGCCTGTTGCCCAGGCCACCCTCCACCCCCAGTTCAGAGCCCTGCCCCCCCAGGCCAGGCCCAGCCCAGAGGCTGGTGTGGGATCCCATGGGGGACTGGTAGGGCAAAGGTCTTGGGGGACAGAGGTGGCTGGGCCAGAGCCTTGGGGCTCCGGCCATGAAGTCTCGGCAGAAAGGAAAGAAGAAAGGCAGCTCGAAGGAGCGGGTGTTTGGGTGTGACCTGCAGGAGCACCTGCAGCATGCAGGCCAGGAGGGTAAGGAGGCCGCCCCACAGCTCTGCTGGGTGGCGGGGCAGGGACGGAGCCCCCTAGCCTGATCTAGTCTGAGGGACCGGGCAGCCTCCGGGTGCTCCTGGGGAAGGGGCAGTGGCTTGGGGTCACCACCCAGGAGGTGGACGAGCATTCGAGGCAGGAAATGTGGCACAGCAAGGCGGGCAGGTAGGCCCCATGGAACCGCTTGGGTCTGGGGGGGTGGAGGGGTCGAGGATGGGAGCGCCAGGAAGCACTGAGGGGAGAGGATGGAGAGACTGGAGGAGGCTCAGGAGAGGTAGAAGCTCCAGAGGCAAGGGGATGACTGCTGGCGACAGCAGAGAGAGGCTAGAGAAGTGGAGATGAACGGTGAGGGGACAGTGGGTGGCAGGTCTGAATGAAAGGAGACAGAAGAAGGGCCGCTGAGACTCTAAGAATGACCCTGTGGAGGATGGGGATTTCCTGGTTGGAGGAGAGTGCCCAGGGACAAAGTTCAAGGTTATAGGGCCCCAACCCCTCTGCAGTCTTGCTGGGCCACAGGTGAGGATGTGGGGTGAGAAGAGCCGCCTTCCTGGTCTCTGTGGCTGTCCAGCTTTCCCTGTACAAAGGAGAAACAGGTGCAAGGAGGAGGACGAGGAGAGAAGCTGCTGAAATGGGGAACAACAGGAGAGTAAGAGGCCTGGTGGAAGCTGGGGTTGGAAGGTGCACAGGAAGGGTGTGGGACTGTCGATGCCGCTCGCCCAGTTCCCTCCCCGAGTTACCTTGGAAGGGGCTTGGAAACCAGCGGGATCAGGGACAAGATGGGGCAGGAGGTTTGATTTGAAATTGAACGCAGGTATCCTGGCTGCCCAGCCCAGCTTGTTTTTGGCACTTGGAGCTCCTCCCAGAGAAGAGCACGATTCTGCCCCCCACCCCCCACCCCACCCCAATCTGTCATTTCCTCTTTGTCCTCCCCTCTGCGCTGCGCTGCGCTGTGGTGCCTGCAGCGGAGGGAGGGTGGTGGTGGTTCCCAGCTCATTTCCTGCTCTGGGCTCCGCCCCCGCACCCCCAGACGCCTCCTTCCCCTTTTCTCCTCCCCCAGAGGCCCCCATCCCCACCCGCCTTGGTTAAGGGAAGGCCTGGGCCCCAAGGAAGAGCTGCACAGCCCTAGTGGCTTCTCTGCATCCTCGCGCAGAGCCCGGTTGCCAGCGCAGAGCTGACTCCTCTACAAGGGGTTCCTCTTGAGAATGATGACTCTTGGCCAAGGGCCACTTGATTTAATTGGGGCTGGTGCTCTTCTCCCAGTTCTCTGCAAACCCTCAGTTCAGCCTCCTCATCCAGGCACTGCCCTTCCCTGTGGGCCCCCTGCCAACTCTGTAGAAACACTGAACCTAGATCCAGCCCAAAACCCACACCTGTAACCACTCCCGGCCTCTGCCTGCCTTCCCAGCAGGTGAGGGGCATGTCCTCTGGAAGGCATAGACATCTGGTTGCTGGGTCCTGATCCTAATAAACCCCAGAGGGCGAGAGCGGCACCTCCTGCCCCTCCCCAGAGCCTCACCTAAACCTAAGGGGGCCTGATCTTGGGCCCAGAGTGGCAGTGGTCCCCTCTCCCCATCCCCCAGCTCCTCCTGGCACAGCTGGGAAGTAGCACCGAAAGAGGCTGGTGCTGGCTTGTCCGTTTAACCCAAGGCCCAGCAGCAGTGGAAGCCCAGGCCAGCGGAGAGCTGTTTCTGGTTAGTTTATCCTTCCTGATATCTTGGCTTCCCATCCTTACCCGCTTGCTGCATCTCAGCATCCTGCGCCAGGTGTTTGCCCCAGGCGGGTCTCTCCCTCCCGCAAGCCCTGTGGGTACTGATCTTCATCTCTTCGATCCCTTGTTTAGGTTTCCGGTTCTCTGAGCCCTAGGCTTCTGTCCCCCCTCCCCGGTGCCACCTCCTTTCCTTGATGTCTCCATCTCTTGACTCCATGAACCCAGCCCTGCCTCTAACTTTGATCTCTGATCTCTGTCTCCTTGACCTCCCCTCACCATCTCTCTGACCCCGTTACCTTTTCTCGCATCTCCGCAACCTATTTCCTCTGTGGCTCTGTCTCCTGAGGGTCCCGAGTGCCTTCCTTAAGGGTCTTCTCTGGAGGTTCAAAATCTGCAGAAAATGACAGGATGGGAAGACCTGGCTGCGTTGCAGTTCACGTGAAGGGGACCTAGGGTGTAGGTGACAGGGGAGTATGTGTGAGTCGACGAGTAACCTGGAGGCCAAAGGAGTCGGTGTAGCACCAGGCACCCCAGAGCGGGGCTGCAGCTTGAGGGAGGAGAGCCTGCCCCACCTCTGTGTCCGTGCTGGCTACCTGAGGCCAGGGACACTCCGGCAAGCAAATGGGTGCACGTCCTGAGGGGATGGATAGTGGATCGCAGAACGCTAAGGAAGCTCTCACTCTAAGGCCATGCAAGTCTGGCTTTCTTAGGGAGGCGCTCACACTCAGGGTCGTGCCTGTGCACAGCTGGCACTTGCATAGCCCTAAGAGTGGGTGCTTCCTGAAGTTTTGTACCCTAAGATGCCTTCCTTGTCTCACCCAAGTCCTGGCTCTGGGGTACAGGAGGGCAAAGGGCGTGGACACCAGGGCATAAGAGGAGGGTTTAAGACAGTGGTTGATGGTTTCATTGATTATCTCCTTCCTTCTATATTTCTCTATCTTAATGCCAAAGAGCGTGGGATGGATGACTTCCAAAACCCAAAACTTTGCAAAATGATAGACTAAGTCACTGAAGGAATTGGGTGGAAGGGAGAATTAGAGGAAAGGTAAGATCAGTGCCCAGAAATGCATATCAGGTGGTTCTGTATGGTTCCTAGATGTGGGCTCTGAGCCTCCTGGTGGTCAAAATAATCAAGTATAACTCATAAAACCCATAAAAAAAAATGAAGTAGGCGACTTAGGAGAAGCACAGCTTTTTCTGACACTGGCATGTGCAAAGGATTTCTCTGGCGAGGCTCAGTTCAGTGGACTCAGTGTTTTGTCTTAGGCAATATTCTTTATTAAACCTCCAAGGGATGTCACTAATCCTTATCGCTGATTGATAAATTCATTGAGTCATTTAATAAACATTTATTGAATACCTGTTCTGTTTCAACACCGTGCTAGGCGCTGAGAAGGATGTTAGTCTTTGTGAGAAGGCATAGATAGGAAAGAAACTAATCATAACAAAATGCAGTAAGTACTATAATACAGATATAAGCAAGGGTTCAGAAATGGAGATGATGTTTGAGGTGTGTTTTGAAGAATGCATAGGAGTTCACCAGGCACAGACAGAGGGGAGGGTATTTTCAGGCAAAATAATAATATGAGTGCTGGTCCAAGGCTTGTTCATGGGGCAGCAAAGAGCTGGCTCATGGAAATTGTTGGGGAATTGGTTGAAGCCGAGGCTGGAGTGGGGCAGTTGGCCCTGGTTTGTGAAGGGTCTTATATATACAATGCTGAGGAGTTCATATTTTATTCTGTAATCTGTAAGGTAAGTGGCGAATATCAGGATGGTACAGGGTGTTTATGGAGCAGAAGATGTAAAGCAGAAAAGTGTTTTAGTAACTATATGGCCTTGTGGAGATGGGATGAAATACATGGCGTTTGAGGGTTCCCATGTTTGAGACACCGTGTCAGAAAACTGAGGAAAATCAAGATGCATCACGCTTAGATCTTGTCCTGAAGGAGCTTTCAGTATAATGACAGGGGAGGGAGTCTGAGGCGGGGAGAGAGAACACAGCTTTTTGCACTCCTGGATTTGAATCCTGGCTCTAGCTGGCTGACACTAGACACTCACTACTCCTTTGAGCCTTAGTTTTCTTAACTGCAAAATGGGGACTAGCGTGCCTACTGCCTGGTGCTTGGCACACAGTCACTTCTTTCCTGAATTAACCTGTTTGAAGGTGAGTCACAGTTTTGTGTGCCTTCCTGTGACAGATCTAATATCCATCCTTGCTTACCAGAGAGGGCATGTTACTAGTCCCCATCAGCCCTGTTCCATTTGGTTGGGATAACTAATGTTCCTGTATCTTATGTAGAGTACAACATAAATGCATTTTCAAGAACAGTCTTTTACCATGAGTTCCCTTCCAAACAGACTGCTGCCCTTTTAAAAATTCTGGAGTAACAACTAGTCCTTACGAGCCAGATTTCAGCTCAACAAAGGCATAACTTTCTAACAGGAAAGGGCAGCCTGCCCTCACTGAGGGGTTTATGCCAAGGCTCTGGACCCAGTGAGCAGAGATACTGTAGAGGGGATGGTATCTGGGCTGGCAGGTTGGAGCTGGTGTCCTGTAAGAATCTTTCTGACAACACTGCATTCCATAAGCTTTGCCATCCGTCTCCCCAGACCACCTTCCCTGATGCTTCCATTTCTCACATGCCTTGCAGTCTCTGACCTCCTAGACCTTCTGATTTCTCTTCCTCTGCCCCATCTGTGTCCCCAGTGCCCCAGGTGTTACGGAGCTGTGCCGAGTTTGTGGAAGAATATGGAGTGGTGGATGGGATCTACCGTCTCTCAGGGGTCTCTTCCAACATCCAGAAGCTCCGGTGAGTCAGACAGTGAGGGGAGGGCTCTGTGGCCTCCAGGCAGTGAGGGGAGGGCTCTGTGGCCAGGAGGCCAGGGAGCCAGAGGGGTGAGGGGACATGGGGAGAAGGGAACATAGATGCGAGGAGCTAGGGTGTCCTCAGGGAAGGGTGAGACAATGCACCCCACTGCCCCCAGTCTAGCATGCATAAGCATGTGTGCACGTGCACACATACAGACACACGCACACACACATCTCTACTCCCACATACACCTACCCAGCTTAAGAAAATATATTTATAATTCACATACCATAAAGTTCACCATTTAAAAATGTACAATTCGGTGGTTTTCAGTATATTCACAAGGTTATGCCGTCATCATCACTATCCATTTCATCAACCCAGGAGGAAACCCTACACCCACTGGCAGTCACTCCACATTTCCTTTTCCTCAGCCCCAGGAACCACTGGTCTACTTTCTGTTTTAATGGATTCGCCTATTCTGGATATTTCACATAAATGGAATCATGTAACTGTAACTTTCGTATGTTATTTTTCACTTAACATGTTTTCAAGGTTCATGCACGCTGTCACATGTACCAGTACTTCCTTTCCTTTTATGACTGAATGATATTCCACTCTACGGCTTTACCACGTTTTGTGTACCCATTCATCAGTGATGGCTTTGCGGGTTGTCTCCACCTTTTGGCTGTTATGAATAATGCTGCTATAAACATTCATGTACCAGTGTTTGTATGGACATAAGATTTCAATTCGCTTGAGTCTATGCCCAGAAGTAGAATTGCTAGGTTTTATGGTAACTCTATGTTGAACTTCTTAAGGAATTGCCAAACTGTTTTCTGTAGCATCTGCATCACTTTACATCCCTACCAAAAATCCAGGAGGGTTCCAGTCGCCACATCTCTGCTAACCTTTGTTACTGTGTGTCTTTTTTTATTAGAGCCGCCCTAGTGGATGTGAGGTGATATTTCATTTATATTTGCATTTCCCTAATAGCAGATGATGTCGAACACCTTCTCTTGGGCTTATTAGCCATTTGAATATATATTTTTGGAGAAATGTCTATTCAAATCCTTTGCTCATTTTTAAATCGGGTTTTCTCTTTTCACTTGTACGAGTTCTTTGTGTATCCTGGATATTAGACACTTATCAAATCTATGATGTGCAAATATTTTTTCCCTCTCTGCGAGTTGTCTTCCCTTTCTTGATAGTGTCCTTTGACAGACAAATGCTTGTGGTTTTGATGGTATTTGTCTATTTTTTCTTTGGTTGCTTGTACTTTTGGTGTCCTGTGTCTGCAACAGTTGCCGAATCCAGGGTCATGCAGATTCACACTATGTTTCCTCTAAGAGTTACTCACAGCCATTTCTATACATATCCAGAGACCTATATGTAGACTCACCCCCTCAGTTCTACTGACTCTACCCCTACGTTGCTACTCACACCTACAGCCATGTCCCTGCCACGCGTCCCCATTCACATGCAGACATACTTTGCATCTTCACATCCCCTGCAGACGGTGGCGCACACAGTGCGTCACCCCTGCTGCCTCACGTGTACACACCAACATCCTCCTTCCAAGTCCCACACACGCTGACCCCTGGCCCTGCTGGAGCCCATCTCCACAGCTCCCACCTCTCCCCATATTACCCCTGATCCCCACCACTCCTGACCACTCTGCACGTCCCCAGGCAGGAGTTTGAGGCAGAGCGGAAACCAGACCTGCGACGAGATGTTTACCTGCAGGACATTCACTGTGTCTCCTCCCTGTGCAAAGCCTACTTCAGAGAACTGCCGGATCCCCTGCTCACTTACCGGCTCTATGACAAGTTTGCTGTGAGTTGGGAGGCAGGGGAGGGAAGAGAAGGCTGAGGGGTGGCTGCTTGACTTTTGTCAACCCAGGTGTTTCCAATGCTAGACAGTGTCCTCGTGGTCCTGAATGACAGAGGTCACATGAAAACGGGAAGTCCTGTTCCCCCAGACGTTAGCCCGCCGTCTCTGCCCCTCCCCTGTCCCTCTTTCCTTCATTCTAAGGCCCTGCCGATCATAGACCGGGCAAGGAGGGCAAGGAAGAGGGCAGGGTACAGTCCAGAGGGGGCAGAAGTAAGAAGGCTCTTGGAAATGACCTACGGCAGAGCTTCCCTACATTTAAGAGAAGACATCTTTTTAGGAGTCGAAACTTTTCAAGTGTGCCCCTCCAGGAACTGTGATTTTATGTCAAATGTCTTTTGAATAAGAAAACACATGACAAAAATGCTATCTTGAACTGAGTAACACTTTTAAAATAAGCTGCACTTTAGTGAGCACAATAGCATTTAGGGATCCTGGACAGCAGCAGCATGCCAGTCAGCCTGCAGGGGCACGACTGGGAGGGTGGGCTTAGGACACCTTGCAATAACTCCCAGCCCCTTGGGGCACCTGCAGGGTGCCATGACTGATGAATTCCCCAGGAAGATGCTAAGGCAGAGAGTGGCAGTGAGTTCTCAAGGTCACAAAACAATTAAGTGGCACAGCTGAGATTCAGTTGCAGATCCCGTGGGCCCCAAATTCAGAGCTCTCTCTGCTATGTCGGTGGGTCTGGAAGATGCAAGGAGGGGACAGTGTGGGTACCCACTGACTGGAAGAGTTTGGCTCAGAGCTCGGGGAGTAAGCAGGGGCAGTGCTGGGTCACTGGCTCCTGCTTCCTGAGCGCTTCCTCCCCATCAGGAGGCCGTAGCAGTGCAACTGGAGCCTGAGCGCTTGGTCAAGATCCTAGAGGTGCTTCAAGAACTCCCTGTGCCAAACTACAGGTGTGTGGCCCAGAAGCCAGACTCCCCCGACACAGCCCAGGCTCTCTCTGCACCGGGAGCCTCGACTTGTCTCTCCTCTTCTGGCCCCCATCCTCAATGCTACCTCTGCCCTGCATGATGCCAGGGCAACCGTTGCCCCATGACACCCCCTTTCCTCAGGACCCTGGAGTTCCTCATGCAGCACTTGGTGCACATGGCCTCTTTCAGTGCCCAGACCAACATGCACGCCCGCAACCTGGCCATCGTGTGGGCCCCCAACCTGCTGAGGTGGGCACGTGTGTGTGCAGTGGTGGGGGGTCCTGCCCAGTGTTTACTGAGCAAGTGTCCTGCGTCTGTTGGAGAGCTGGGCTGCCTATCACTCCCTCTGGAGCCAGGCAGACGAGGAGACACCCTGAGGTTTGGGACTTAAGTCACATATGTAGTTTCAGAGGTGGAGATGGGGTTAAGGGCATGTAGGGAAAAGGACATGTTTTTAGGGAGAATTTGGATGGGCAAGTGTGGTGGTGGGGAGAATGACTCCACATTGCCACAGGTCTAAGGACATAGAGGCCTCAGGCTTCAACGGGACAGCAGCCTTCATGGAGGTGCGTGTGCAGTCCATCGTGGTCGAGTTCATCCTCACACATGTAGACCAGCTCTTCGGGGGCGCTGCTCTCTCTGGTCAGTGTCCTTCCCACCCACCATGTCACCACTCTCTGTCTGGGGGGTCATGTCAGGGTGATAGAGGGCCTCAGAGTTCATCCAGTTCAGTCTCCCCATTTGCAGATGAGAGAATTGAGTCTCACAGAGAGATGCTGCTTATGGTCACATGCAGAAAAACCTAGAGAGAGAACGGCATAGACAGTACTTGAGCAGACCTCTCCTGCTCTCAATCCAGGGTGTAGCTTGACCTCTTAATCATAATGCTGGCTCTCCAGGCCAATGACTGATCATTCCCACTCCCAGCCTCCCGGGCCAATGTCCTGGGAGCTCTTGGTCCTCTTTGTCCAGAAGGATTCCCTCTTGAGGAGCTAGACACGGAGGGTCTGTCTCCAGGGGCCTCTGAGACTATCCCTAGCCCCGTAGTTGTGGGTGGGAGGGCACACTGGGGAGTGAGGTACCCGAAGTCCTCTCTAGTCTCTGCTCTTGATTAGCCAATTCCTCTTCTTTTTCTAGGTGGTGAGATGGAGAGTGGGTGGCGACCACTTCTAGGGGCCCGGGCGTCAGGTAGCCCTGAGGACCTTATGCCCAGGTCCCTGCCCTACCACCTGCCTAGCATCTTGCAGGCTGGCGATGGACCCCCCCAGATGCGGCCCTACCACACTATCATTGAAATTGCAGAGCACAAGTAAGGCCTCCTTCCTGGGCCCCCTTCTCCTGCACTGACTCCAGGCCCCAACCCACGATTTCTCCACTCCCTCCAGGAGGAAGGGGTCTTTGAAGGTCCGGAAGTGGAGATCTATCTTCAATCTGGGTCGCTCTGGCCATGAGACCAAGCGTAAACTTACACGGGGGGCTGAGGACAGGGGTAAGTTTGGGGCAATGTAGGGGGAGCTCCACCGAGGGTGTGCCAGGCCCTGGTTCTACGCACATCCCTGTCTTGCAGAGGACAAATCCGGTAAGGGGACTCTGCGGCCAGCCAAGAGCATGGACTCACTGAGCGCTGCAGCCGGGGCCAGTGATGGTGAGTGCCAATGTGCACCCCTCTCCGCTGTATGTGTGCATGTGCCATGTGACCACCAGCACAGGCCTGTGAACATCTGTATGGAAGCATGTCTGTGAATGTGTCTGCGAGGGAATAGCAGTATTATGGATAAAACCATTGTGAGTGCATTCCTCTGTGGGTGTGCGTGCGTGTGTACATGTAGCCATTGTGCTCACAAATTAAAAAAAAAAAAGGAATGAGTGCCTGTGATACACCACCATAGTGCAGGCTGCTAGGTTTATAGTGGTGAGCTTATCGTAATCTCTGGTATATTCATGAGTGTCCACAGAGGGACGGAGTGGCAGTGGTGGGGGTCGGTGTAGTGATGGCCAGTGACTTCTATCTGCAGGGAGGGTGGGGGGCTCCTAAATATGTGCAGGGTAACTTGACCTGCTGGCTGTGGAAAGCTTGCAGTCATGGCCAAGGGAAGCTGGGCCTGGTGCCTTCCAGACTATCCTGCCTCTCAGGCTTGAGGAAGCAAGGAGCATTCTCCAGAACCTTCCTGAGCTGTCCCAGCTGAGGCTCTTGCCTTCCTCTCTCTCCTCCACAGAGCCAGAGGGGCTGGTGGGACCCAGTAGTCCCCGGCCCAACCCGCTGCTGCCAGGGAGCTTGGAGAATGATTCCATGGAGGCAGCAGAGGGTGAACAGGAGCCTGAGACAGAGGCACTGGGAAGCACGAACTCTGAGCCGGGCACACCGCGAGTTGGGCGGTCAGCAGTCCGCGCTGGGGGCAGCAGCCGTGCCGAGCGCTGTGCTGGTGTCCACATCTCAGACCCCTACAATGTCAACCTCCCACTACACATCACCTCAATCCTCAGTGTGCCCCCAAACATCATCTCTAATGTCTCCTTGGCCAGGCTCACCCGTGGCCTTGAGTGCCCTGCCCTACAGCCCCGACCAAACCCTGCCTCTGGCCCTGGTCCTGGCCCTGGCCCCCCAGGTGAGGACCCAAAGATTGCCTGGGACTGGGAGAGGGGACTGGAACTCTAGGCTGAGGCTCTGATGCTGGACATCTGCCCTGGGAAGGGCAGAGGCCTTGAACTTCAGGTGGTTACCTTCAGCCACCTCCTTGGCTTTGAGGTTGGGGGGAATTTAGTAGTATTATCAGGTTGTATGAAATTCATGGAGAGTGGATCTCTGGCAGCCTTCAGATCACTGAGTTATCCAAAGTGGAGGTCTGTGTCAGATATATAGAGCAGGGATTACTAAATAAAAGGTGGGAATATATACTAGATGATGGTAATAAAAGGAGTAACATTAATACTAAGAGCTAACACATATCAAGGGCTTACTATGTGACAAGTGATGGGTTAAAGACTTTGAGGGCATTAGCTTATTTCATTTTCTTATAATCTTCTGACACAGGTATTATTGTTATCCTTATGTTACAGCAGTGAAACCTGGCATTTAGGTTAAGCAATTTGCTATTGATTTAGGTGGGAGGTGGCAGAAGTGGGATCTGATCTTTGCTCTGACTCCAGTTCCTGCAGTGTCACTGACAAGCAGTACTAAGGCAATGCAGGGTACTGGGTAAGGACATGGCTACAGAGTGATAGAGACTTGGGTTCAGATTTTGGCTGTGCCACTTACTGCTTGTGTGACATTGGACAAATCTCTCTGAGTCTCAGTGTACTCATATGTAAAATGAGGATAAATGCCCTACATTATAGGGCTGTTTTGTGGGGAAAATAAGACAGTGCACTGTAAAACACATAGTATGGAAGAGGCTGGGAGTGCCGTGAGGGTGGCCCCAAGCCAGTATTTAGCAATATTGGTCTGAGAGGATCAGCAACGTCCAGTATCTCTGCCGGAAACCTTGGGCCCATGCTGTAGCAATGCTAGGAAGATCCACATGGGAGAGGGTCAGGGTGGTCTTGACCTTCGTACTCCTAGGACTACCTCTCTTCCAACAGATGAGAAGTTGGAGGCAAGTCCAGACCCAGCTCCTCTGGCTGACTCGGGCCCAGCGGATGTTGTACCTGCCCTGGAGGACTGCCTGTCCCAGGAGGTGCAGGATTCCTTCTCCTTCCTAGAGGACTCAAGCAGCTCAGAGCCCGAGTGGGTGGGGGTGGAGGACGGGGAGGTGGCCGAGGCAGGAACGGCAGGAGCAGCCTTCTCCCCTGGGGAGGACGACCCTGGGATGGGCTACCTGGAGGAGCTCCTGGGAGTTGGGCCTCAGGTAAGGAGGAGCTGGGCTGGGTTTGGGGGTGGTAAGGAATCCAGAGGCTGCCCAGGGCTGCCTGGTCCTGAGCCACAACGCCATGCCTACAGGTGGAGGAGTTCTCTGTGGAGCCGCCCCTGGATGACCTGTCTCTGGAAGAGGCGCAGTTTGTCCTGGCTCCCAGCTGCTGTTCTCTGGACTCTGCTGGTCCCGGGCCTGAAGCAGAGGAAGAAAGTGGGGAGGAAGTCTTCCTGAGTGCCTATGATGACCTGAGTCCCCTCCTGGGGCCCAAACCCCCAACCTGGGAGGGCCCGGGGAGTCTGGAGGAAGACGCGGCCGGGTGTGTAAGACAGGAGGCTCCGGGACAGGCTGAGGAAGAGCAGGCGTGCCGGGAAGTTGAGGAGGACAAGGAGGCTGAGCCTGGAGGCAGATGGGACGGGAGGGAGGAGGCTGGAGGGAACCCAGAGGGTGGGGTGGAGGCTGGAGAAGCAGGCGAAGGAGGAGGAGAGGCTGGGGGAAGCCAGGACACAATGGTCGGTTTGACAGAAGGTAGTGGGGAAGGGACAGAGGCCAAGGAGGACCAGCGTGCGGAGGACGTGAACGGTGTAGAGGAACCAGGAGGGGAGCAGGACAGAGACAAGGAGAAGGAGGGAAAGACTGAGAGAGAGCAAGAGGCTGAGGAAGGTGAGGAAGACCAGGGAGAAGCGGGAAGGGACCCAGAGCATGGCGCCCAGGAAAACCAAGTTGCTGAGGAGGGCTGGGAAGTTGCACCCAAACAAGAGGCTGAAGGAGGCAGAGAGGAGGACGACAAAGGACAAAGGGGGATTGGGGACCAAGAGGCAGGAGAAGACCAAGGAGATGGTGAAGACGGCAGAAGCCCAGAAGCAGCAGCTGAGGAAGCAGCGGGGGAGGTCAGCCAGGAGCCGGAGAGTGGGGACGGAGAGGCTGCGGGGGACTACTGGGCTGGAGGGGACCATTTAGGAGAGGGCTCCCTCCCTGAAGGGTCACCTGTAGAGTCCCTGGAAGTTGACAGTGCCAAAGAGAGCAGTGCCCAGTCCTCTGAGACAGAACAGGCAGCACCGCCGCCACCCAGGCCAGAGGGCATGGAGCCTGAGGGGCAGCCCAGTCCAGAGGGTTGCAACCTGTGCCTGTGTCCCCTTGGCTCAGCTGGTGGTGTGGGCATGCGCTTGGCTTCCACCCTGGTTCAGGTCCAACAGGTTCGCTCTGTGCCTGTGGTGCCCCCCAAACCGCAGTTTGCCAAGATGCCCAGTGCAATGTGTAGCAAGATCCATGTGGCACCTGCAAACCCCTGCCCGAGGCCTGGCCGGCTTGATGGGACTCCTGGGGAAAGGGCTTGGGGGTCCCGAGCCTCCCGCTCCTCTTGGAGGAATGGAGGCAGTCTTTCCTTCGATGCTGCTGTGGCCCTGGCCCGGGACCGCCAGAGGACTGAGGCTCAGGGAGTTCGGCGGACCCAGACCTGCACTGGGGGTGGGGACTGCAGCCTCATCCCCAGAACCTACCCCTGTACTGTGACCTCTGCTTATTCTCCTCGGCCCCTTAGCTGTCTGGAGCTCCCATCTGTGGGTGCAGAAGCGTCTGGACCACGGAGTCGGCTTAGTTTGCCCCCCAGGGAACCCCAGCTCCCTGACCCCCTTTCATCCCCCCAGCGCCGATCATATGCATTTGAAACACAGGCTAACCCTGGGAAAGGTGAGGGACTGTGATTAGAAGCACCGGGCAAAGGGGCCAGTGAGTTGTCTTGAATCTCTGGGGTCCTGGACTGGCTGTCTCCTCTGCTACCTGAGCAGCTGCACTGCCCAACTCCATAGACTGTGGCCCTCCAGGTTTTTTTTTTAGACTGTGGGAGGCACTGCCTCAATCGGTTTACCTGAGCTTGTCTCAGACACAAAGCACTTATCCCCTGGGAGATTCCCAAGTATGTCACCGAGATCCTGAGTGGGATCATCGGCCAAAGGAAACAAAATGTAGGCAGAAAACCCAGAGGCTTCTCCAAGGGGAGAATGAAGGGGGAACTCCAGCCAAGAGCCTGTCCTTTGAGGTTGTGAACTTTTCCTCATGGAAGCCCAGGGTGGAGGCAGAGAGGACGGGGCCAGATCAGAGTCTGTCCCACACACACAGTCCTGGAGTTGCCCATCCTTGTTCTGTGCTAGAGCTCTTGGGTATCTCCGGACTCTCTCAGATCCAGATTAGGAGGAACATGTCCAGAAAGCTCTTTGAAAACCTCATATTTGTTGGAGAGACTGGCCCCCTTTCCAGCTAACCCACCCTCTGTCTCTGTCACATTAAGGAAGAGAGGTCTTGCACAGATCTCTTCGGCCTCTCCTTTTTACTTGGGGATAGCTTCCTCCTATTTTGGGGAAGGTAAATGGCATCACTCAGGCCCTGGGGCTGCGTCTCCAGAGAGGCTGGGGCCCCAGGTCCCATTCTTGTAAGGAGCCATGTCTCAAAATAAAAGTATTTTTGCATGGAAATAGTGTGAAAACTCATTATTTCTATTAAAATTTTGGGTGATAGGTATCATATTTTCATATGTTTGGCTCAACGTTGCTTTTCTGTTGTTGTTTGGTTGCTCTTCCTCCCTTGTTGTCATGGAAACTGGTGGTTAAAAACTAGAGCTGGGTTCATGGTGGTCAGGAAATGGGGAAGAGAAACTTTCATTTACATAATGCTCATTATGTTCCAGTAAAGGCTAGGTAGTCCATGTGCACAGAATCTATGTCCTTGATTTTATGTAGTCCACCCAGCAGTTCTGAAAGTTGGTACTGGTATCTCCATTTTACAGATGAGGAAACTAAGGCTAATTAATCAAAAGGCTTGCCAACGATCTCAGTGGTAAGAAGCCACCGAGGTAGGTTTGAGATCCGGGCTTGCTTGGCTCTGGAGTCTGCACTCCTCCCGTCACACCACTCTCTGAATCCATTAAGGGTAGGTCTTGACAGAGAAGAATGGCAATCGAGAGTCCTCTCATGTAATCTGTGGGCCTCACAAAAACTGGAGGCCCTGGGGGCCTTTGGGTGAGTGCTGACAACAAGAGTATACCTGTGTCTCTGTCTGCCCACGTACGTAGGAATCCCCAATAGGGAACACTTGAAAAAGGCGTCCCATCCAAGATGGCCTCCCAAATGGCCCTTGTTAAAGATGGCACCTCCCTCTGCCGTCCCTCTTTTGATCTAATCTGCCTTCTCTCAGTTCCTTTTCCTGGCACTAAAAGGGTCCTGTCCAAGTGAACGGTGGGAGCACAAGTTCCCTGTCCTTTCTCCCGTTCTTAACAAGAGTTCCCTGGACTTAAGCGTTATTCTTCCAAGACGCCGGGATGCTACTTCTCCTCGACCCCAGCTACACGCCCACGGCTCAGCCTTCAGCCCTCAGAAAGATGGAGCAAACGGAAGTGGGGCGGCTCTGAGGCTGAGTGGCTTGGGCGGGTCGACAGAGACGCTTCCGCCCCTCTCCAACATGGCCGCGGGCTGGGACTGCGCATGAGCAGCTGTCCATGGCGATATCCGAGTCCGGAGCGGAGAACACGGTCGGGGAGAACCGGCGGCTCAGGGGCCTCGGCTGGTGAGTGCAGGACCGGACGGGCGTCCGGAGACAGGGCGGGCCGGCAAGGCAGGGCAGCCGTGATTGCGTCTCAGTTTTTCAGGTTAAAGGAGTCCTGGGGCGGAAGCCTTTGTTTTGAGGGAGGGGGCCGTGCCTGGTTCTTTATCTGCTGCTCCCCTTTGTGGGCCCAACTCCCTGCCCGGCCCGGAGCGCGCACGTCCCCGCCCTCCTGCGCTGCCAGCCGCCGCCGCCCGGGGCCGAGGGGTGCGCCGAGCCGCAGGTGCCCTTTCCTGCCTCCGCGGAGCAGCGGAGGCGTGGGGCGAGCGCGGCGAGGCTGCCCGGGTCGCGGCGCGGGCTCGCGGGCTCGCGCCTGGCCGGCGCTCAGTTCCCGAGCGCCCACTGGCTGGTGGGCCTGCAGGGTCTAAGCGCCTGACTGCTTTCGGCACTTCATTATTTCTCCCTTTGTGTCCAGTCTTGGCAAGGGCTTTTGCAGGGCCCTCCTGCCCTGAGCGTGCACGCCGCAACATCCTGTCCCGGTTTCCGTATCGCGTACCCCTAAGGGCAGGAGATGCTTCCGGATGTCCAGCTAAGATAGAAGTAGCCTGGCCCCGTGGCTGGGTGTCCTCCGAGGCTACCCCTGGCTGACAGCTGTGGGCGATAGAGACGCCTCCTGTGCCTTGCCTTCTCTGTAATTGCCTCTTCCAGCAGTCAGCGCTACAAGCCTCAGAGGGGCACCTCCTCCGTAAGTGTGAGGACGGACAGGTGGGTGGTACCGAAACACTCGTGCCACTTCCCCTTAGGGGCTGGCATCTTCTTGCAGCGTTACTTCCTCTGGACAGTTTCACTTTCAGTTCCCTTTTTTATGGGGCAGAAGGGGATTACACTTTTCTTGGATACCGGCTTTCCAAGGCTCATTCGCTGATTTTCCTTGAATAAGACAGGTTTGGAGGATCGTATGGGTAGAGAATTTACAAAAATTATACCCATTCTGTGTCCGGATTATTTTATTGCTTTGTATGATGTAGCAGTTTCTTTCTGGAGGCATCTGCCTGCGCAGCCCTTTGGTTTTCCTGTCCTCCGGCTGGGTGTCAGGGACCTAAGGCAGGCACCTGTAGATGGAATTCTTTCCTCCTCCATTGTCTCTTCTTTAGAACCGTGAGCCTGCAGTTCTTCCTGTCTTGCTGAGGCTCAGTTGATTTGGAGTTGTTATGGCAACATTTTAGCAACTGTGTTGTTGTACAGGAAGTCTTGGTAGGTACAATAGAAGGGGCTTGAAGATGATACACTTGGGCTTTAGGGTCTTTAACAAATGGCAGAAATCTGGACACCCCAAAACAAGATCACTGTTAGTAGAATGGGGCCCAAAGGCCAAGTCTGGCCTTTGTGGTTGTAGGGGGTTCCGACGGCAATCATTTCCCCTTCCAAGAATTGAGAACAGAAATTTCTTGGTGTGCAAATGTGGCTGAGAAGCTGGAAGAAGCATTGGCGTCCACGGCCCTGCGTTGATAGTGGTGGTCTAAATGTGGCCTTTCCTCGCCCCCGTGTCATGGCAGCTCATAATAGCTTTAATAATAATCCATCCAGAAATATATTGTTGCTCAGTCTTCCAGCATAAATCCCTTCTCCACCAGGAGTTGGAGTGATAATGAAGGTGTGAGGAACACTATCTGTAGAGTTGCTTATTCAGTCACTTGAGCCCAGTCCTCAGCATCAGAATGAAGCGGCTTGTCCCCTGCAGATGAATGTGTTACATTCTTGGTGTGTCTTCACAGAGCTTAGGTTCTGGAAATGGGGGGCCTGTTCAGTTTCCTAGACTCACTGCAGACTCCGATTCCTACCAGGACTTAGCAGTCAGGCCTGTGAGGCAGAAGATTCAAAGACTTTCAACGAAGGACGAGTTCCTCGGATGTGCCCCCTCACAGAGAGATGAAGGGGTGAGTGAAGAAGAGGTAGGGCCTGGGATGGGAAAAGGACGCCTGGGAAATTGCAGAACAACTGAGAGCACTGACTCTGGAGTCAGGCAGACCCAGATTCCGGTCCAGCTCCATCACTGCCTGGCTGTGTGATTTGGTTTCCCATCTACAAAATGCAAGTAGTGCTGCCGACCTTGTATTGCTGTTCTTAGTATTAAATAAGGTAGTGCCTGTTAAGTGTTCAGCTCAGTGCCTATGTACACGGTAAACACTCACTAAATACTAGCTGTTGTTTTTCTAACCTAACGTAGCATCTGTTGGGAGTGCCTTTGAGTCTGGAAGCCATCTGTTACCGGGCCAGAGAGCTTTTCATTCACTTCTTCTCTTACTCCATTTCTCCCTTCACAAACAGACAGCAGAAAACAGCTGAAACGGAAGAGGGGACAGTGCAGATTCAGGAAGGTGAGTGGTAGAAACAGACCTGAGACCCAGAGCCCATCCTGGCCTCACCCCCACTCCCATGGGCCCATCTCCTGTGCATCCTTCTCCTCCCAAATGATGTGCAAGTGGAATCACAGTGTAAGTTGGTCATGGGGGACGGTAGTACTGCATGGAGAATAGTCAGTGATTCTGTAACATCTTTCTATGTTGATAGATAGTAACCACACTAGAGGGGGTGACGACTTAATAATAACTTAATAATAACTGTTGAACCACTGTGCTATACATTTGAAGCCAATATAATATTGTATATCAATGATACTTTAACATAAATAAATAAATAAATAAATAAATAAATAAATAAATAAATAAATAAATAATGACATGCAAGTAGAACAGAGGGCGAAAGGCCGAAACTCACAAACTTTTCGTTTGCTTTTTAAATTCAGGTGCAGTGGCAACTGGGGAGGACCCGACCAGTGTGGCTATTGCCAGCATCCAGTCAGCTGCCACTTTCCCTGACCCCAACGTCAAGTACGTCTTCCGAACTGAGAATGGGGGCCAGGTAAGGGAGGGGGCCAGGTGGCTGCAGGTGTTACCTGGGGCTGGGAGTGAGGGAGGTTATTGAACCTGCCAGGGGGAGACCTGGCTTGGAGGATGAGGTGGAGACGTGACTGTTGCTGGGGGGCTTCGGGGTGGGAGCTGGAGTATGAGGTTTGGAGCAGAGACTGGTGTGGGGCAGGGGCTGGCTGAAATCTCCGTATGGAGAAAAAAGGGGGAATGGCTGAATCAGTGTCTCTGAAGGACTCTTGTTTGGGACCCTATCCAAGAGAAGCTTGCACCTGGGATCCTAGGCGCTTACTCTTTCATTCTCTCTTCCCCGGCTTCCCCTTTCCTCCCTGCTTCTAGGTGATGTACAGGGTGATCCAGGTGTCCGAGGGGCAGCTGGATGGCCAGACTGAGGGGACTGGCGCCATCAGTGGCTACCCTGCTGCTCAATCAATGACCCAGGTACAGAGTCTGCGCAGGAGAAAGGACCATAGCTCTGAGAAGTGAAATGCAAAAGGGAACCAATGGGATGGGGGTGAGGCATGAGGCTCTCACTTTCTGGGTGTTTCTCCCCAGAAAACTGCAGAGTAGTTAAGCAGGAAGTGTCCCACTGTCCCTGGCCACCCTCCTCCTGCTTCCCTTCCAGGCGGTGATCCAGGGCGCTTTCACCAGCGATGATGCAGTTGACACGGAGGGGACAGCTGCCGAGACGCACTATACATACTTCCCCAGCACCGCGGTGGGTGACGGGACAGGGGGCACCACATCGGGCAGTACGGCTGCAGTTGTTACTACCCAGGGCTCAGAGGCACTACTGGGGCAGGCGACCCCTCCTGGCACTGGTGAGATGCTGTGTGAGGATGGTGGCTGGAGGGGCGAGGATGGGCCGTGGGACCTGGCCGGCGGACAGCGGGTCTTTACTTGTGACTCCTTAATGGTCACTAAGACCTGGGCAGGCAGAGTCTAGGGCTGCCTTTCCAGCCGGAGGAAGTATGTGTTTTTAGTAGAGGGTTCCAGGCCCTTGGTCTCAAGAGCTTGGGGATGGTCCCCATCCCATATCCTGGCAGAACCTCCCCTGCATCTTCACAGGTCAATTTTTTGTGATGATGTCACCACAAGAAGTGTTGCAGGGAGGAAGCCAGCGCTCCATTGCCCCCAGGACCCACCCTTATTCCCCGTGAGTGACACTTGTTTCTTCTGTTTCCATGAGTGGTCTCTGTACCTGCCAGATCTTATCCCAAGCTGCACTCTTATTTTTTGTTCTCCCTTTGCTCCGGCCACCCGGGCTCCTTTGTCAGGAAATCAGAAGCTCCCCGGACTACCCGGGATGAGAAACGCAGGGCTCAGCATAATGAAGGTAGGTATGGTCTGGGTGTGAAGCTAGGAGCCATCTGGTAGCATTGGGATGGCAGTGATGTCAGGGAGAGATGGGTAATCGTCCACAGGGCCTGTGCTGAGGTCTTGCTGAGTCACCTTGTCCTCCACTTTGCCCCACAGTGGAGCGTCGCCGCCGAGACAAGATTAACAACTGGATTGTGCAGCTGTCCAAGATCATCCCAGACTGCTCCATGGAGAGCACCAAGTCTGGCCAGGTCATGGAAGGACGCTGGTGGTGGGCAGGTTGCCTGAAATCTGTCTCCTTGTAGTGTTCCCAGAAAAGGAGAAGGGGCACACATGGCAGTCTCTTCTTATTTCTCTCTGAGGTTCCTGTATTCCCGGGAGATGTTATACCACCATCCTTAGGGGGAAATAGGGACTGAAGTGTGAGTGTGTTTTTGGAAAGCAAACCAGGTACCTTCTATTCTAGTTCTCATTTTGTTGGCTGCTTCTTGCAGAGTAAAGGTGGAATTCTATCCAAAGCCTGTGATTATATCCAGGAGCTTCGGCAGAGTAACCACCGGTTGTCTGAAGAGCTGCAGGGGCTTGACCAACTGCAGCTGGACAATGATGTGCTTCGACAGCAGGTCAGACCCCTCTCCTCAGTATAGTCCTCCTCGATCTCCATAGCCACTGACCCAGTTTGGGGCCGCCTATTTCCTCTTCCATAGGGAGAACTTCATCTTTTCCCCCTCTCCAGTGGATGTCTTAATAAGTTCAGGGACTCGACTGTGCCAACTTTTTTACCATTCCCCTTACTGCCCCTTCCCATGTCAGGTGGAAGATCTTAAAAACAAGAATCTGCTGCTACGAGCTCAGTTGCGGCACCATGGAGTAGAGGTCGTCATCAAGAGTGACAGCAACTAACTCGGGACTCAGGGCCTTTGGGCCCTATAGCCCCTTTCTGAGAACTGCAGATAGCCCAGGAGCAACATGCTAACCCCATGCCCCTCTCTTCCACTGCCCACTTCTGGCACGAGACTGGGGGAAGTTCAGAAGGCGGCCGTGTCTTTAAACTGAGGTCCTGTGATATAATAGCTTGTGGAGGTGTGAAACACAAACGGGGGTGTGCACTGACAGCCTCTCTCAGCCCCACCATGCAGCCCCTGGGCCCTGTGCTCCTCTTGGACAAGGCTTGTGCTGTCTCCATGCTGGATGCTGGACACACTAAACTGGGGGGCTTGTCCTGTGCTTGTTTAGCGTGTCAGCAGAGGGTCTGCTGACAGGTGATGCTCTGGTTTGCCTCAGGACTCTGGCGCTTCCACTGGTTCTTCCTTTCCCTGGAGCGCAGATGTGCACCTGAGGACTGGGGAGCAAGAAGTGGGGGAAAGGATGCTTAGCAGTGGCTGCTGCCCCTGGAAGAGGAGATGGGCCAGCAAGCAGCTAAGGCCTGTGCCTAAGTCTCTGGACAGGGAGAACGACAGGCAGAGGCCCAGTTGGGGCCTTCCCCCTTGTGGGGGTGGTTTTTTTTTTTCTTTTTCCTTTTTTTTTTAAGATAAAATGTTCAGAGCCACAGTTGTCTCCTGTTTTCCCTCTTGTGGGCCCCAGGGGGCACGTTGTGCTTTGACCAGTAAGGGTTGGGCCATGATTAAGGTGGGAGTTGTGCGGGTACTCATTGCTTGGACTCCTGGTACCTGGGCTAGACCCGCGTGCGGTCGCCGCAGCGCCAGGCAGGCGCGGAGCCGCAGCTGAACAGGTGCCGGGGGCGGTGCGGGGGGTGGTGCCCGCGCTTCCGGTTCCGGTGGCTGCCCCGGGCAGGCGGCAGAGATGCTGCGGGTACCGAGGGGACTGACCGGGGCCGCATTCCTGCACCTCGCCTTAGCGGTGCGCACCATGGCTGCAGGTACCTGCGGGAGAGGCCTGGGACCTCGTCCCGGCCCTCGGGAGCGCGTGGAGCCCCGGGAACGGGAGGTGGCGGAGGCACGAAGGGCGCGCGTGGAGGTCCTCCCCCGACCCCCGCCGGGCCAGGGGCGCCGCGGCAGCCGTGCCTCGCAGCCCCGCGCCCCTCATGACGCGTGCCCCTTCCTCAGCGCCCACGGTCTCACTCCCCGAACTCCGTTCGCTTTTGGCCTCGGGCCGGGCCCGGCTCATCGATGTGAGATCTCGGGAGGAGGCGGCAGCTGGGACCATTCCTGGGGCGCTCAACATCCCGGGTATGGGATGGAGAGAGGACGCCCCGGTGGGCGGGGAAGAGACAGTCCGGTGGGGTCCCTAGGATGGCGTGGGGAAGGCACCTGTAGTTCCCTTAAGGCCCCCTGAAGCTTCCCTGGCTGGCTGGAGGCGGGTCCTGGCCGCCGAACCGGCCCTTCCAGTTTGGAGGGAAGACAGGCGGTGAGGAAGGGGCAGGCCTGCTTCTGTCCTTGACCTCTCCGGGCCGGATGCCCGAGTCCGCCCGCTCTGCCGCGCAGCTAGGGGCGTTGCTCCCGTTCAAAGGTCGTGTGGCTGACTTTCTGCGCGGGTAGACTCTATCTTGTCCTTGAGATTGGGGGGTGGTAGTCGCCATGTGTTGTTTTGGGTCTCCCTGGAGTTTTGTTAGATCCCCAGGACCCAGTCCTTGCAGGCTTAGCCTCCCAACCTGAAATTGACAAACTACCGTCTTTGCCTTCTGTCCTCTCAACTCCTCCTCCCAGTGTCCGAGTTGGAAAGTGCCCTGCAGATGGAGCCAGCTGCTTTCCAGGCTTTGTACTCCGCTGAGAAGCCAAAGCTGGAAGATGAGAACCTCATTTTCTTCTGTCAAATAGGCAAGCGGGGCTTGCAGGCCACGCAGTTGGCTCAGGGTCTTGGATACACAGGGTAAGGTGAAGGTGTGGATTGCTAGCTGGGGAGTGCTCAGGGTCTTGGATACACAGGGTAAGGTGAAGGTGTGGATTGCTAGCTGGGGAGTACTGGAGACCGCCTCCTGGGCCTGTCCTTCCCCCACCCCTCTTTGTCTCCGCAGGGCGCGCAACTATGCAGGGGCCTATAGAGAGTGGTTCCAGAAAGAAGGTTAGGTAGCAGGAGGTTCACTGATTGCCTCTCTCCCCTCGCCCGCCATGGACCTTAACTAAGGGTGATGAAGGGGCTGACTTGTTGGGTTGGGCCACTCCTTATAGTTTTGTGCTGCAAGCATCAAATAAAGATCATTTAATCGAAGTATTGGAAGCATTTAATTTGTCAGGTGGACTGGAAACAGTTCTGATCTTAATCTCGACCTTAGTTCAGGCCTGGGTCCTTCCTTCTGCATTCATCTACTCTCTCACCCATGCACCCCAATTTTTTTTCTAGCAGTTGCCTGAGACTGCAATACTCCTTCTAGAATAATTGTTTTCAGCCCAGAGTGCATATCAGAGTCACCTGGTAGCTTAAAAAATACAAACCTTGGCTCCCATCCCAGATTTGAAATCTCAGTGGTGGGACTTGAGCATTAGTGGCTTTATGAGCCCCTCAAGTGATTCTAATATGCAGTCAGGAGCCAGAACCACCACTGCTCTAACCAGAGATCAGCAAACTATGGTCCAGGCTGCTGCCGTGACAATTTATTTACATGTTGTCTGTGCTGCTTTTGTGCAAAAATGGCAGAATAGTTGCAACTCAGAGACTATATGTCTTTCAAAGCCTTAAGTTTTTTCTATCTAGTTCTTTGTAGGAAAAGTTGCCTACCCTTGCTTAAGACCTTCAGATCCCCATTCCCAGCCTCAGTTCTCTTAGACTTCATCACTGGATTTGAGGAAATGAGAGGGCAGTCCCAGGCTATTAGGTGAAGGAGTAGATGCCACCTTCCATCCCTACACGTGTGTCACAATGTATACAGATTACTGGTGTGAGGCTCCTCCAGTGCCACCAAAAATGGGTCCCAGTTTTTATCAAACTGTTCCCTGATGCCATAGTGGGTTTAACAAAATTTGGTTTAAAAAAATAAAAAAATTTTGCTGAGACAAAGTTCAACCCCCCACAGAAGATTTATAACTTCCCTCTAAGATCAAGGTACATAGCTTGATGCATATCCTTCTAGACCTTTTAAATATCTCAATGGCAGAGTTTTGACTTCTTAAGTTTGATTTTAAAAGTTTTATTCCTCTATTTGTGGAAGAGAAAGTTGGGTCAGAGGTGGACCCAATTTTCTGATTTTTCTGAAACTCCTTCAGGTAATTACTGCATTCTTTGCCTTTTTCCCACCTCCTTTTCCACTTCCCTTCTGCCTTCTGGACTGTACCAGCTGTGCTACATCTTTTATCTTAGAGTCTACACTGTACCCTCTACAAAATCTTCTCTGGGCTCTCCACGTTCTGTGTCACAGAACTATTCTACTCTCTCCCTGGGCTAATCACAATGCATTACTGTCCAAGGTTAACTGGATATTGTTGGGTCTGGAGATAAAGCTAAAATGTATGAGTGTAGCCCAGGGTCTAGTAAATGGTCAGTGTCAGTCACTCTGTCCCTTAATACCCAAATCCCTTTGGTTCTCAGAGTGGGTTAGAAGTTTTCGTGGGGTCTAATTTCTTCTTTGTTACCTTTTTCCCTTCTTTTACGTCATCAAGTATTATAATTCCATTATAGCATTTCTTTTTTTTTTTAAACTGAGGCTTAATTTGCCCATAATGAAACGTCCAGCTCATTGAGTTTCGACAATTGCCTGTTTAGGTGTTAACGACCATCCTAAGCAAGACACAGAACCCTGAAATCCCAGGATCTCTCTGGGACTCCTTTCTAGTCAGTTCCAGGTATAGTCTGTCTTCTATCACCAGAATCTAGTTTCTAGCTTCCTTCCTGGCCTGCCAATCTGTGCCGTTTGCTTTCTTCAGTTTAGCTGATTAGGGTTAGAGAGGATCCTTGAAGTAAGCTGAGCTGGCTACTCCATGGCCGCGCCCTCAGGCTTGCTAAGAGAACATTCCTCTTTCTCATTAACTGCTTAGTTCACAATCTTGATGGGCTGTTCCAACCCATTACCTTTCCCTCTAAAGTTCTCTTTCCCTTTCCTCATAGCTAACTGTTTCACTGGGTGAGGCTGAAGAGGGAGTCTACCAGTTTTATGTCCTTCCCTTCCAAACCACATTAGACTCCTCCCTCTTACTATACTTTACCCTACCTGCGTCATTGAATCCATGACACTACATATTGTTGTTTATCTCCTCCGACTGACTGTGAATTCCTCAAAAAGCAGGAACCGGCTTCCATTCCCTGACCTCCAGTACTGCCAGCAAATGTGAGGTCTCAATAGGTGTTTGCTTCCCAACTTTCCGAATATTCTAATTTCAGCCTTTCTGAAACATCACTGCCTGAGCAATCTTAAAATAACATTTTTATCTTATCAGTCAGTTGATACCTTCCAACTGTTGCCTAGTGGCTCAAGCGCACGTCTTGGTCTGGCATTTTGAGCAATCTGTAGTCTGGATCTGGCGTCGCCCTGCCTTTCCAAAGTTATCTTTCAGTGCCTGTTCCCATCAGGCTGATTTCTTTAGTGGCCTAAGTAGACCCTACCTCTTCCTAACCAGGGCCTTTGCTCACCCTTTCCCCTGTTAGGGAGGCTTGCAGTCTCTTTTGCACCACTCTACATTTCACAAGAATTAGAAGAATGCATTTGGCAGGATACTTGCTGTACTTATCCAGAGGGCTTTGAAACTGAAGGAGAAGGGAGAACAATAACCAGATAAAGTTATGTAACTGAATTCCGTGAAGGACATGAGAAACAGAAGCACAGCGGGTAAGGCACACACGTGTGCTGTGGTACTGATCATGCATGCTGTGTTATAACTTGCAGGACTCTTCCCCCTTTAGACTGAACTCTTGAAGGGGAGGGACTGGTGACCTCATTTTTTATGGCCAACAGTTAAACCAGAACTTGGCATATAGGAGGTACTCAATAGATGCTGAATTTTTATTCAGGTGTTCAGTAATTTCCGAGGGGAGAAATGCAAGAGAAGAAATTTGGGAATAATAATCACAAATGGTATGTAAAGAACAAAGGCTATGAATCAGAGTTCTGAGTTCCAGTTCTCACTTAGTGCTGCTTAGTGTTCACTGCAAGTTACTTTTTAACTAAACTCTCACTTTCCTTATCTGTAAAATGGAGATTTACAGACTTATCTTTTTGGATAGTGGTGAAAGTTTACTGAGCTAACCTGTAAAGTACCTGCCATATAGAATATGTAGATTTAGGATGTATATACTTGATGGAAAGGAACTTTTGGCAGGCAGTAGAAAAGGATTTCATGTGAAAAAGAAAATATACTTAATAGAAGACTCAGATACTATAAGAGTGCAGCTTCATCAATGTTTACAAAGTGGACATTTACCTACCACTGTGGTCAGAAAACATACACTGTATGATTTAAATAATTTAAACTGTTGAGATTTGCTATGTGGTCAAGTGTATGGTTAATTTTTATAACTGTTCCATGAATACTTGAAAAGAAAACATTATCATCATTCCTTTGCATAACTAGGGATCTACTTATCAAGAAAGCTCAAAACTTATGTAAAGAAAATGTTACTACACAATGAAAAGAGC